AAGAAGATCCGTGTAGTCTTCGACTGCACTGCAACATACCAAGGAACCTCAGTTGCTCCAAAGACCCAATCTCGCCAACACTCTCAATGGTGTGTTGACCAGATTTGGAAAATAACTTTGGGGTATGATGGCAGACATCGAGTGCTGGCCTGATGGCAACCCGAGTCAAGCCACAGAGGAGTACAGAATGACTGCGCACCTGTTTGGAGCCACGTCATCACCCAGCTGTGCATCCTACGCACTAAGAAGAAGAGTTGAAGATGGAAGAACCGAGTCAACACCAGAGGCGGTTGACACAGTACGCAGAAACTTCTACAACGACGACTGCTTGAAGCCTGTGTCATCGGAAGAACGTGCTGTCACCCTGTCAAGAGATATCCGAACTTTGTGTTCTAGTGAGAAATTCAACTTGACAAAGTGGGTAAGCAACAGCAGAGTTGTCATACTGTCTATCACAGAAGAAGAGAGAGCCATAAAGGTGGATAAGATGCTCAGACAAGAACATCAAGTGTCGCTCGAAGAGCCTACCTTTTGAACGGATAGCACTACAGTGCTGAAGTACATAGAGAATGAAACCACTCGTTTCAAGACCTTTGTGGCAAACAGGATCGCTACAATCCGTGAGACCAGAAAACCGACCCATTGGAAGTATATCAATACCTTTGTAAACCCAGCAGATCATGCTTCAAGAGGTTTGAAAGCTGATAACTTCATAAAAAGTGAAAAATGGATTCAGGGATCCAAATTCCTGTGGATGGCTCCAAGTGAATGGCCAGAACGACCAATTCAAATGAGTCAAAACTCAGATGATGATGAGATCAAGAAGTCGGTAACAGTCAATCTCCTCAGTATCAAAGATAACTCTAATCCAGTGAACAGACTTGTCAATCACTACTCAAGTTGTATCATCTGAAGAGAGCAATGGCATGGTTTTTCCAACTGAAAGTGATTCTGCTGCATTTGAGGAATAACATAAAAGAGTATCGAGCTACAATCAGTCAGGCTAAAAGTAACCCCGAGAGGCAGAAGATACTTCTCAAGCAGTGCATGCAGAAACTTAAAGCAACACTGGAAAAGGAACTGCTTACAGTGGGACACATTGGACCCAGGCTGAGATCGACCTAATCTGCTTCAGCCAGAAGAATTATCAAGACCATGCCAGACTCCAACAGTTCAGTGTGTGTGTGTTAAAACGAAGTTCAGCACACTAGAGCGACCTTTAAAAAGCTCTATCTGTTACAAGAAGCAGCATGAAAGTATACGGATAAGATAAAGAAAAGGCTCAAGAAAGCCAATAAGTGGCAGAAATACAATAAATAATTATTGTTATACAGTGAGGGAAAAAAGTATTTGATCCCCTGCTGATTTTGTACGTTTGCCCACTGACAAAGAAATGATCAGTCTATAATTTTAATAGTAGGTTTATTTGAACAGTGAGAGACAGAATAACAACAACAAAATCCGGAAAAACGCATGTCACAAAAATGTTATAAATTGATTTGCATTTTAATAAGGGAAATACGTATTTGACCCCCTTTCAATTAGAAAGATTTCTGGCTCTCAGGTGTCTTTTATACAGGTTACGAGCTGAGATTAGTAGCACACTCTTAAACAAGGTGTCAGTTTTTGTGCCAGTTAAAAGGGTAAAACCTATTACTATATCTTGTTACTGGCAAAGGAGGTCTCATAATGTAAATGCTCACCCCGAGCCCTCAATACTCTGATAGTGCGCTGTTTTTGAGTTGTACGCCTTTTGACGTCTTCTGGTCCAACACCAATGGAGACTAGGCTCTAAGAAAAGCCGTCTCGGGTGTGGACCAATCAAATTCAAGGACAGTGCATATTATTATCAGAGTTGTCTCTTTTGTTTGCATTTTGACTGCTAGTGTTGTGGTTATTGCAAACATGATGCCTTGAATAAAGGTGTCAGTTTTTGTGCCAGTTAAAAGGGTAAAACCTATTACTATATCTTGTTACTGGCAAAGGTTTCATAATGTAAATGCTCACACCGAGCCCTCAATACTCTGATAGTGCGCTGTTTTTGAGTTGTACGCCTTTTGGCGTCATCTGGTCCAACACCAGTGGAGACTAGGCTCTAAGAAAAGCCGTCTCGGGTGTGGACCAATCAAATTCAAGGACTGCATATTATTATCAGAGTTGTCTCTTTTGTTTGCATTTTGACTCTTGTGTTGTGGTTATTGCAAACATGATGCCTTGAATAAAGGTGTCAGTTTTTGTGCCAGTTAAAAGGGTAAAACCTATTACTATATCTTGTTACTGGCAAAGGTTTCATAATGTAAATGCTCACACCGAGCCCTCAATACTCTGATAGTGCGCTGTTTTTGAGTTGTACGCCTTTTGGCGTCATCTGGTCCAACACCAGTGGAGACTAGGCTCTAAGAAAAGCCGTCTCGGGTGTGGACCAATCAAATTCAAGGACTGCATATTATTATCAGAGTTGTCTCTTTTGTTTGCATTTTGACTGCTTGTGTTGTGGTTATTGCAAACATGATGCCATGAATAAAGGTGTCAGTTTTTGTGCCAGTTAAAAGGGTAAAACCTATTACTATGGTTATATTTGATTTGGAATATCCCAACTGTGTTGAAACCCCCTGTGGTTAGACACTCTGTTGGTTGAAGCCATTACGTCAATTCCGGTTTTTACAGTATAAAATGGGGGCTATGAGAAGAGCTGGTGGGGGAGCGAATGGATACGGTCTTTTGACCGTGTGAACGGGTGATACAGTACGTGCGACGAAGTGACAAAGTACGTGCGACAGGGTGATACAGTACGTGTGACCAAGTGACAGTACGTGCGACGAAGTGATACAGTACGTGAACAGGCAAAGATATAACTTTAGAATAAGCTCGTTTTTGTGCAACTAAGAAATAAAGAAACAGTTTGATTTAAGACACCTCAAACACGCGTCAGACTTATTGCTACCACAACTTAAGGGCGTAGCTTATTTTCTGGTACAAGAGAGCTGCACCTACACCGACCGTCCAGTGCGCTCTGAGCTGCATTTGACTTCTCGTTGCTGAACGAATCCATTATGAGGTCGCACTCATTACACTCAAAGTGCTTGCCACAAATGAACCACAATACCTTGCCGATCTCGTCAAGGAACATACACCATCAGCACGCAAACTCCAGGCATCCTCGCAGTGGATTTTGGCTAGCAATTAGTCAAGATGATCACCGGATCGCGCACTTTCGGATGCGCTTCTGTGGCCGTCTGGAACGCTCTTCCTTCTGACATTAAGAAGCCACTGGAGGCTATGCACTTTTAAATCTAGATTGAAAACTCATTTCTTAAAAACTGCTTTTTTTGTTTAGTTTGTTGTCATTCCCCCACACCTCAGATTAGCACGGTTGGCTATGTACGGTGTGAAAGAAGTTCAACATACATACGTAGATGCACTCATCCTCTGAACCTCTCTCTCCCCCACTGCATATATCCAGCAGCATCCAAGAATCATCCACCTTCAAGTAGCAGCACAAGGCTCACATCTGCCAGGTGGTCTGTGAGCTCTGGTTTTGTGCCTCCAAGTTCTCGATCGTGCAATTGCTTCTGATTCGTGAAATATGTGCACTAAAAATTGTGTTTATTATTATGATTGCTATTATTATTCCACATCCACGGCTGAGTTTCAGAACTGGGCCATTGTGGAAACACATTGCACAAACTCCGAGATGCGAATGTCAGCATCGAAACGGCGTGGACCGAGCAGTGGGCTTCAAGCAAAGGGCCCAACAATCACCTGACCAGCCAGCGACCCCCCCACCGGCTTGCCCGGCTTCTTTCACAAAACAATGGATGGCGGTTAACCGGATCGGCACAAAGCACAGAAGACGCGGATACCCAATGTACAAGGGGAGAATAAAATAATCTCGTCTGTGTGCAACTGCGGTTACAGACACTGAAGTACAGTGCGTGTAACTTCGCACTGCCCCAAATATAAATTGGAAGGCGGTGGGCAGGTGTATCTGAAATTCACGGATTCTCAAAGCAATGAAATCGCTTAACCGCTTAGAAAAGGAATCTTTCATAGTTGCTCTTTATTGGCCATACAAAATAATTACAATAAATTACAGTATCTCTATCTCACCCGCTCTAAAGCTGTCTCAACTAACCCAAGGCTCCTTTCCTTAGTGGTTTATGTTACAGGGTCCATAACTAGAATAGGACTCTTCCTGCCCATTCTAAGGCATCACATGTGGCTCAAGGCTCCGAATACTGGGTTGAGGCAAACTCACCGAGTTACACGGTTCACAAAACTGGTCGAAAGCTTCCTCACATGGTATGCAGTTCATTCACCTGGTTACAACTCCTCTCCAACAGTTTATGCTCTCCCTTACCAGATCTACACCTCCCTCAGTCTGGTTTCACGTTCCTCACCGTGCCTTTACATTCTTTACCCGTTCTGAGACTTTCTTATCCGGGGATGACGACTGGGACGACAGTAACTATCGCCCCCCTGCTGGCACACTCATGCCCACTTGTGGGCCAAATTCTGAAGTCCCATTGTGCTGCGCAGGGACAGCTGCCACTAGCAGGGCCCTTTGAATCGTGTGAGACACCCTGGGATGTCCCAGTGTGAAGGGCGCAATTAAAAACAAATTATAAAAAAATTATGGTCTGCTTGGCTAGACCACGCCTCTCACATGGTCTATGCTTGGCTTATGCAATATATCCTTTCCTCACCTTATACACATTTCCCTCATCTGATCTAGGACAGGGGTTGCCAACCAAAATATCAAGAGCCCTTTTTTTCAAATTCGATTTAAAAAAACTCAATATTTCAAGAGCTGCAATGCAACGTGATGATGCACGTAAGATGGTGGGGTCCTTAATAAACAACGGTCACGAAGCAAATCCGGAAAAAGAGCCGCACACGGCTCCGGAGGCACAGGTTGCCCACCCCTGCTTCAGGACTTCCTGGTCTGGTTCACGCTTACCTGACCCACACTTCCCGCACACGGGGCACAGTGTGCTTACCTGGTCAAGGATCCCAAAGAAATTGATTGGCCGCTTGGGTCCTGGCGTGAGCGTAGCGTCAGCACAGATGAAGGAGTAGTTTCCGAACGGTGTGGTGAGGACGTGGCGGAAGGGGCCTTCCCTTCCCAGGGCCGAATACTTCCTGTAACGTCCCGACGTTGCACATGTTACAACCACAACGTGACAACATTCCATGCTTGGAAACTGTTAAACCTATATTCACAAAAGTGCAATGTATTTGAAAACTGTGCGAATCACTCCAAAATTTACATAATTTTATTGCACTTTTACACATACCAGTTACACACTTTTTTTAATCAATTACACTTTGAATTAATTGCTCCAATTTTGAATAAATGAAGTGTGCAGTATGGCACAGTATCCTCGTCATTATTTCCAATCAAAGCATTTGCAATATATGTGCAACACAGATCAGGACAGGGTACAGATAGCAGAGTGCACTTTAATGCCTCATCCCTCAGAAAGGAAGTTGGGCAATTCCCGCACCTCCGATTAGCAAGGTTGGCTACGTATGGTGCGACAAATGCTCAACATACATTGAGAGAAAAAAGTATTTGATCCCCTGCTGATTTTTAACGTTTGCCCACTGACAAATAAATGATCAGTCTATAATTTTAATGGTAGGTTTATTTGAATAGTGAGAAACAATAACAATAAAAAAACCCAGAAAAACGCATGTCAAAAATGTTATAAATTGATTTGCATTTTAATAAGGGAAATAAGTATTTTACCCCTCTGCAAAACATGACTTAGTACTTGGTGGCAAAACCCTTGTTGGCAATCACAGAGGTCAGACGTTCCTTGTAGTTGGCCACCAGGTTTGCACACATCTCAGGAGGGATTTTGTCCCACTCCTCTTTGCAGATCTTCTCCAAGTCATTAAGGTTTCGAGGCTGACGTTTGGCAACTCGAACCTTCAGCTCCCTCCACAGATGTTCTATGGGATTAAGGTCTGGAGACTGGCTAGGCCACTCCAGGAACTTAATGTGCTTCTTCTTGAGCCACTCCTTTGTTGCCTTGGCCGTGTGTTTTGGGTCATTGTCATGCTGGATACCAATCCACGACCCATTTTCAATGCCCTGGCTGAGGGAAGGAGGTTCTCACCCAAGATTTGACGGTACATGGCCCCGTCCATCGTCCCTTTGATGCGGTGAAGTTATCCTGTCCCCTTAGCAGAAAAACACCCCCAAAGAATAATGTTTCCACCTCCATGTTTGACGGTGGGGATGGTGTTCTTGGGGTCATAGGCAGCATTCCTCCTCCAAACATGGTGAGTTGAGTTGATGCCAAAGAGCTCCATTTTGGTCTCATCTGACCACAACACTTTCACCCAGTTGTCCTCTGAATCATTCAGATGTTCATTGGCAAACTTCAGACGGGCATGTATATGTGCTTTCTTGAGCAGGGGGACCTTGTGGGTGCTGCAGGATTTCAGTCCTTCATGGCGTAGTGTGTTACCAATTGTTTTCTTGGTGACTATGGTCCCAGCTGCCTTGAGATCATTGACAAGATTCTCCCGTGTAATTCTGGGCTGATTCCTCACCGTTCTCATGATCATTGCAACTCTACGAGGTGAGATCTTGCATGGAGCCCCAGGCCGAGGGAGATTGACAGTTCTTTTGTGTTTCTTCCATTTGCGAATAATCGCACCAACTGTTGTCACCTTCTCACCAAGCTGCTTGGCAATGGTCTTGTAGCCCATTCCAGCCTTGTGTAGGTCTACAATCTTGTCCCTGACATCCTTGGAGAGTTCTTTGGTCTTGGCCTTGGTGGAGAGTTTGGAATCTGATTGATTGATTGCTTCTGTGGACAGGTGTCTTTGATACAGGTAACAAGCTGAGATTAGGAGCATTCCCCTTAAGAGTGTGCTCCTAATCTCAGCTCGTTACCTGTATAAAAGACACCTGGGAGCCAGAAATCTTTCTGATTGAAAGGGGGTCAAATACTTATTTTCCTTATTAAAATGCAAATCAATTTATAACATTTTTGACATGCGTTTTTCTGGATTTTGTTGTTGTTATTCTGTTTCTCACTGTTCAAATAAACCTACCATTAAAATTATAGACTGATCATTTCTTTGTCAGTAGGCAAACGTACAAAATCAGCAGGGGATCAAATACTTTTTTCCCTCACTGTACATACTTACGTACATTAACCCATCAGAGCAATGGGAGCAGTGAATAGCAGTGAGTGGCACTAAAAACAAAATGTACTTAGCCAGGCAGGAAAAAAGTTGTACTTGACTGCATTATAACTCTTGACCTCTCAAAAGAGTTGTAGAAATATATTAAACGGAGCAACAAGGGAAAAAGAATACCCAAGTTAAATAATAACAATATGCTTCAATGGTAATTAAACTGCAAAACATGTGGCTTGCGAGAGTTTATCTTGAGGTAGTCAGACCCATGGCTATACCGTGTTGTTGTTTTACTCGATGACTGCCATTTGTCCTCCTAAATTCCACTCTCACATTCACTGTTGTACGAAGTTTGTGTTCCACCAGAAGATTAAGCGGCAACATCGCGACGAGACCACTGGCCTAGCGAATGGACCTCGAGACCCATCCTCTCCTTTGCTTAGTTTTAGTTTTTTAAACTCCAGTGGACTCTCGATTATCCGCAGTAATCACGGGAAGGATGGCAGCGGGTAATCTGAAAAAAATCATTTTCCAAGGATCTCTAAGCTAAAAACCACTTTAATTCTAGATTTGAAGCTTTCGTGACTGCAAGGATTCATACTTTGGTTTTTTTCTGTAAAGTCACGTAACTTTACTAGAAAAACTAAAAACCACTAACATGTTTAAATTATGTTTAAGTTTCTCTGCCATAACACAGTTTCGTAAATTAAAACTCACAAAAAATGATTAACTTAATCACCAAAACTCAAAATGAAGCACAACTGACAATTACGATTGTTACAATTTCGATTTAGAACGAATATTAACGATCGACTGATCGATGCGCGTGCTCAGTGATAACAACACTTTCCTGCTCCCGCACAAAATAACTCGGCCCACTAAGTGGATGAGAGCAGAGCCACACCAATCAACACCAATAAATCTCCGCCCACTGTTGTAAGATATGCAACTAATGTACTGTAGCGGCGATCACGTAGGTTTTGGATTTACCGGAGCACATATTTGTTCGGTTTAAGCACGTGACCTGTAATAAATATTTCCAAGAATAACAATAACTGTGTTTATATGATTAATTTGGGCTTGAGGGAAAATCTATGAGTTGTTAATTGATCTCAAAATCTCAGGTGCGTGGTTAATAAACCGCACGCGGAAAATTGAGTCGACAGTAATTGGCAAGGGTTTCTCTGAGCGCAACAGCTCCATCCTACGTGCAGAAATCCCGTGTGAGGAACTGGCCAAGCACCCCTAGTAAGGCCCACACCTCATTCCACATTCTACCCCTCAAGTAAATCACAGAAAGGGTACCGCTTTTAATGAAATGTCTTGTGATGTTGATGTGGTGAGATAGTTCGACATAGTTACAGTCTGCCAAATCAGTATTGGCTTCAATCCTGGACCACAATAAGGACAAGACGCCATGATTCATTGTACCTATAGGCACCACCTGGACAGACCACAACTGAAGTCCTCAAAACCCAGAATGTTCCTGAATGGAAATGGGGTTTTGCACACCCACAAAGATAAACAAAGAGAAAGATCCCCCCGTTTAGCCTAAACAGACTGTTGGGGCAAATGCTGTTAGTGAGCACTTTTAAAGGCCGGAACAGCACACGAGGGAGTGAATGGCCAGCACCTCGTCCAGCCGGCTTTGTCTCCCTAGTGGCAATGTTTACACGCCGCACCAGGTACTCATTTGAGACCGATTCAGATAATCGTCACTGATGTTGGCCGTTAGCGTAAATTTAACCCGCGTTGCCAGGTTCGTAGCGCAGCACACTAACCACTATACTACTGCTCCCCATTTTGCACACCCATGGACACCGACCCACACCCACCTGTAGTAATTCTGGATGCTGTGCAGGGAAGGTATGTTAAAGGCATCTGCAAATCAAAGAAGAAGGAAGGGAAGTAAGCTCACCGTGGGCATTCTATAGCTCCTACAACAGTAAATAAGGCATACTAATTGCAGTACTGTTAGGCACGGGTGTGGTGGACTGTATAGACGTCATGTGCGTGCGACACCCCCATATGATGCAACGACGAGAGGTGGTGAATGCATGAGCCAGTTGTGCAAGTGGGTTGATGACCCATCTGTGTGGAGTCTATTCACTTCTAGCTGTTTTACTTGTGTCAGCACATAAGCAGAATCAGAAGTTTATCATCCGAGTAAATTACCCTATGAGCTACACAGCTCTTTTTCAAGAGTAACTTGGCCAGCAGACAGACTTGACAAGAGTTAATATATGAGATATACGATATTAAAAATTAAAACTAAATAAAACCAAATGATCTTTTAAAACAATTACGTACACTGGCATTTGTCCCAGCAAAGAGGTTCTTAAGCAGGCTGTTTCTCTCATCCGGAAAGCCATTGGCCATGTGGAGGCTTATCTGCTTTTGCTGTCAATGATTACTAACGGTTCCATTGCCGTGTTGCGATTGCCTTGATGGTTCTGGACACACCTGCCATTTGGTATCTGTACTAGAACAACAAAAACGGCAATTCGCCACTAAGTGGCAGTGACGTCACTACGGCACTTGTGCCAGGCTATGTGCACTTTAAGGTCACCACAACTCCTTTGACACCACTCTCATGTGACTCCTACTCATGAGGGTGCCACCTCTCGCCGCCATAGGGAATGGGGGCTGGAACTACTGGATTTTATAAAAATATGAATGGTATTAGTTATAGGTGAATGAAATTGGTTCATTGACCATCGACCTCAAAGTATAACACCGTTTTCATTCATACACTTGCAGTTAAACATCTTCAAATATTATAACACATACCTTTGAAATTACCTACAAAAAACGTCATTTCAAATAGAACAGCAGAATTCGATTTTTATTTCATAACACCTGCATATTTGGAGTTTGTGTGTTCTCCACGTGGTAACGTGGATTTTTCTCCGGGTCCTCTAGTTTTTCCCTTCTCATTTATAAACATGTGTAACGACTCTGGACTCGAGCTGTAGAGGTTTATTTTATTGCACGTGATGTAGCTTCGGACCCCGTCGTCATGGGATAATGCCAACGTGGAGATCGTGTGACCGAGCAAACAGTGACAACGTGAAGACAGTGATGACGTGAAGACAGCGACGACGTGAAGACATCGATGATGGCTCTCGTCCCTCTCGACAGCCCCGAACTTCCCTTCTTGTTATGCTTTAATCCTCGTGGATTCTCAGGAGGAATTTCCCCAGCCGTCTATTTTGGACACTGGGGAATTCCCCAACCAAGGACCTCTGGGGAATTTCCCAACCAAGATTCTCCAGACTCTGTGCATCCAGCCTCGCTGACACCCTGTCTTCACATCGAGACTTGCTGACAGTCTTTACACATGCATTGAGATTATTAGATTATTTTGTTGCTATAAATGTCCAAATGATGGTCGACTTCGTTGAGCTATCATTTGTGGTCAGGTTGCTTCTAAAAAACAAGGTAATACCTCAGTGGGCTTTGCCTGGTAGGATGGGGAAGGTTTAGTCGTATTTGTATGTGTTTGCGTGATTTTTACCTTTCTTGTACTGTGAAAAAGAGCTTTATAGCTCATCAGATTCCTCCAGTATAAATAAATATTCTGATTCTGAACTAGTTTCCACCAAAGTGGAATTTTCACATTCTCAGAATGATTCATTTTTTATGTGTATAGTAAAAGTGATTGATGGGGATAATGCAACCTCACCATGGTTGCCGCGAATATCAATCCAGACGGTTTTCTCCAGAGCACGCGAGCGCTTGAGTGCAGTCTGGTAGGCCTGCCACTCCACCTCGTACTGCATGGACCCCACGCGATTCTCCGTCTTTGCATCCGTCAAGTCACCTGCCAAAAACCTGACTTGTTAAGACCTAAACAAACCACAGCGCCAGTGACAGTGCCGTAGCCTAATACAACAGGAAGTGCAATTATAGAATCATAATGGCAAGTTCCAAGCGACCACTGTGTCGGGACTAAGACAGTCACAGAGCCCAGATTACGATGACCAATTCAACTGCTAAAGCTACATTTCCGTGACCGTGTTAATGCAAGGATGACTCTAGGATCATCCATGGGCCTAGTGCCACATATAGGCCATCAGTCCACAATCCTATACAGTATTCCATCGTTATTCACGAACTTGATATTCACGATTTTGGCTATCTGCAAATCGCATCTGGAACTCTACACGACTGCATCAATAGAGAAAGAATGTGATGAAAGAGAATGTGATTCAAGAAAGTGATTCAATAAATTGATGAGATTAAGTGAGATTAAGTCTATCCGGATGTATCTATGTAGCAGTAGTAATGACATCATAGCGATCATCATCATCACCATCATCATTATCGTCAAAACCAACATCGTTATTGCGTCCTTCCACTCTGCAGCATCATCATCATTTAAGGTAAGTTCATTTATAAATTATTATTTAACACTTTAATATTTATTTGTATTTCCTTTGCTAATCATAAAAAAAATTAATGTTATGACAATTTGTATGTATACAATAGCTTATATATGAATGTATTTTAGACAATTCATTAACATTATTATCTGCAAAACGTGTTATTCACGATCATATCTGGAACGTATCCCTCGCGATTAACAAGAGAAAAGTGTAAATATAAACAAAACTCCTTGGCCTAAGGTGTCACCACGAATTCTATCCCCCTCAGCTCCTCCGTTTCCACAAGCCCACCCTCCCCCTCTTCCACGTGGTCTGGGGCCACCCCTGGGACAATGGACCTGCACGTGGACACGAACTTTGGTGCAGGTGGGAGGGTGACAGCTGGGATGCTTTGGCTTAAAAAGTTCATCGTAGACTTTATACGTCTTCGCATCGATTTAAACATGACAAGAGGTGGTATAAAAATGTAAGTAGGAGTAAATTATCTCCAGTGGGATCATAAAAAGCAATAGACACTTGAGATGGATTTCAGTGTTTGCTGATACAGGGCAAGAAGGGGATCTAAGAAGCACCAAGAAAATTCATGTTGAGGTTTAAGTTTTGGTCATTCCACTATAAAGACAAAGATCCCCCATATAGCCTGAACAGACTGTTGGGGCAAGTGCTGTTAGAGAGCACCTATGAAGGCCGGCACAACACACGAGGTTGGTGGGTGGTCAACACCATGCCCGGGCTGCATGTCTCCCCATTGGCGATGTTTACACAGCGCACCAGGTACTCATCTAAGGCCGAGTCGACCTAGGTGAGGCCCAGGACCGCTTTAGATAATCGTCACTGACGTTGAGCGGGAATGGAACTCGGGTCACGGGTTCATAGTGCAGCAGGCTAATCGCTACAACACTACGTCTCTCCATACACACTCACCGGTAACAAGAACCAGCGCTGGCTTCAGGACGTCCAAGTCCTCGGTGCAAAAGCGCTCCAGATCAGAGGCACGTGCGGGATCTTGGAAACGGCTGATGTGAATATCCGAGATCTTTGCAACCAGGAGAGAAGAGGATGCAGATGTATTGGCACACATTATTAGAGGCTTAACCGTAGCCCTACGACCCTGACCGTAGCCCAGACACTAATCATAAAACCCTGTGACCCTAACACCCTGACCATACAATTCAGATGATAATCATCAGATCCTGACCTCTAAGACACGAGTCATTATAGGGGCAGATAAATACGGATAACAGTGCATGCGGTGGTAAACGCTGCATGTGAGGTACGGTGCAGTGATGGCCAGTTAACATGTTGTACTTTGTGGTTGCGGTGGCATTGCCGATGACTGGAGATGATGGCAATGATGAAGGCATCCGCATCATCAGATATATTCACACAATAACAACCATCAATTCTTGCTATTGGATAATTTAAACTCATCCTTCAAGATTTAAAATTGTAGTCATAACCTGGGAACAGATTGAAAAAACATTTCTTTATTACTGCTTTTTGCGTTTAGTTTGTTGTCCTTCCCCGCATCACCAATTAGCACGGTTGGCTACGTGCAGTGCGGAATAAGTTCAACATGCATACAATACTGTGTCACATGCCACAGGGTCACCACATTTTAAGCTCATGGGGTGGTTACATGGCCCAGCCAATTCGCCGCTTATTACAGAGGTTCGCAGTTCGAATCCCACAGGCCACCCTGGTTACTACTGCAGGTGCATTAACCATAAAATGCGTGCCATCTCTTTCGCAGTGGACATTAAAGATTCCAGTTAACATCATCCAAAAACAGGTCCAAATTAGAAAATTGCTCGCAACTTACTCCACTGGGATTACACGTGGCAACATAGCCCCCCTACTGTGGAGGCTATGTACTTAAAACACAGCGTATTCCTTCGTCACGGTAGCCTTGTTCTATAATAGTTAAAAAAACAAATGCACGTAGTGTTATTATTCCAACCGGTGCACTACCATCCATCGCTGTCAGTGGCTGGTGGGTGACAGAATGGATGCATTGAATTACATTACCACTTTGTCCACATTTATTAACGGAGACGCACCTGCAGCCTTCTGCAAGAATGAAGACCTCGGTCTAGTTAATTAAGTGCATACCATGATGAGCCATACACGGCCATCAGGGAGTAAATCACGCATATGCATGATTAAAACAAATTTACACACGGCCATAAAATAGACGTGTTTTTTCTAATTATTTTTCTACATGTCCTGCGAACTGGTAACAGTGTTTTTACCTATTGGGAGTTATCGGTAATGCAAAACAACCCACGTTCATAACCCAAGTCACTGTGATGACCGTCTACCCCGGTGTTCTTCATTGCAAGGCCCCGCGGCCCCCCGACAATCCACAAAGGGTGATAACACCCCTCGACATTTCCGTTCTCTCCACGAGCCAAAATGTAACACCGCATTATTTGTATAAATCGCAAAACATTTCGATTTCCGCACCTCCGATTAGCTCGGTTGGCTTACTATGGTGCGAAAGAGGCTCAACACACACATTGAAGGCGGTGGGTGTGGGACGGGCCTCACAGTCATGATCTCTTATCGGCCAAAGTGCACCCCCGCCTCTCTGAGTAAAGAACACTGCACGACAACGTGCGGCAAGCACGATGTAGAGTTGGAGAGTGATCAGGCGCACGTGTTGTTGTTGATGATACAGCGGCCTCTGGTAGCAAGCCAGCGAGTCTTCGTGTGGCTTCACATCCCAGCACACTTGAAAAGGCACCCCACAACCCCCGCAGTGAGCGCTGTCCCTGTGCCAACACAAGGTGGCAGAGCACCTGGCATGCAATTGGTATCAGTCTGCGGGTTGATGTTACACTTTGTATACGTAAACCCAATTGTGTCGTTCGCCTTTTGGCGCTGTTCTCTGGTCTGCTGATACTGCTGGTGGTGAGAGCAAGGCCTTGAAGAAGACTGCCGTCTCTGATGGAGGCCAATCACTTCAAAGATTGCCGTATATTATTAGCAGAGCATGTTTTGTCAAAAGAACGTTTGTGATTATTGCCGACTTGATTCCTTTAAATAGGTATCTATTTTGGTGTTTGTACATCTTGACACCCCCTGTTCTACTGCCGAACAGAGTAAAGCCTATTCTTATTTATGGGTTTCGTCACGTACTACTTAATTGTTCCAATTTGGGAAATGTTGGACCAGGCATATTCCTGCACGGGATTTTTAACTCCCATGTGAAGCAGGTGGCACGTTTCCGTATCATCATTAATACTGCGGTATTAATTTATGATGAATACACATCGCTGTATTAATCCGAAAACCGCGAATCTCGACGTCAATCAACGAACGCGCTCCAGCCGGGCCGCGGGCGACCGTTCGCTTGCCGCGGGCGACCGGGGAGGAGGGCCCTGGGCACGAGGGGGCCGAGGGGGGCCGAGGCCGCGCCGCACCTGCAGGAACCACGCGAGGTTGCGGGCCAGCGCCCCGGGGTAGGGAGGCTCCGCGCGGCGCCTCCCGGGCTCAGCGGCCCGCGGCGCCTCCATCAGCGCGAGGAGCGCCAAGAAGGAGGCGGCGCACACAGCGAGACACACGCGGGACATCACCACCACCAACCTCCTCAACCACCAACCTCCTCAACCACCACCAACTCAACAACCACCACCACCAATGATCCCCCGTATAGCCTGTAACAGACTGTTGGCGAGCACCTCTGAAGGCCGGAAGGTGACACGATGGGGGTGGGTGGCCAGCACCACGCCCGGCCGCCTTTGTCTCCCCAGTGGCGATGTTTACTACACACCGCACCAGGTACTCATCTGAGGCCAAGTCGACCTCAGGGGAGGAGGCCCAGGACCGGTTCAGATAATTGTCACTGGTGTTGGTGGCCGTGAGCGGGAATCCAACTCGGATCGCAGGGTTCGTAGCGCAGCGCTCACCGCTACATCACCACAACCTCAACCACCACAACCTCAACCACCACCATCTCAACCACCACCACCTCAACCACCACAACCTCAACCACCACCTCTACAACCCCCGGCTCCACCACAACCACCACACCACCACGTCGTTTGCCACAGCCACCGGCTCTTCCTCGTTGCTGTTGACTGTTGTTGACTGCTGTCGTCGGTCTCGCTGGAGTGAGTGATGGTGGTTGTTGTGGCTGTAGCTGGTCTAGCTGTAGTGGTGGTTGTTGTGGCTGTAGCTGGTCTAGCTGTAGTGGTGGTTGTTGTGGCTGTAGCTGGTCTAGCTGTAGTGGTGGTTGTTGCTATAGTTGGTCTCGCTTTAGTTGTGGTTGTGGCCGATCTAGCTGTAGTAGTTGGTGGTTGTAGTAGCTGTAGCTGGTCTAGCTGTAGTATTAGTTAGTGGTGGTGGTTGTAGTAGCTGGTCTAGCTGTAGTATTAGTTAGTGGTGGTGGTTGTTGTGATTGTGGTGATCTAGCTGTAGTAGTAGTTAGTGGTGGTTGTAGTAGTTGGTCTAGCTGTAGTATTAGTTAGTGGTGGTGGTTGTTGTGATTGTGGTGGTCCAGCTATAGTATTAGTTAGTGGTGGTGGTTGTTGTGATTGTGGTGGTCTAGCTGTAGTATTAGTTAGTGGTGGTGGTTGTAGTAGCTGGTCTAGCTGTAGTATTAGTTAGTGGTGGTGGTTGTGGTGGTCGGCTGCTCGCTTCCGCCCCAACTCTGGCTGCCGTCATCGCACACCGAGCAACGCGACAGCCCCGCCCCTCGCCCCCCGCGCCCCGCCCCCCGCGCCCCCGCGCCCCGGCCCCCGCGCCCCGCCCCCCGCCCTCCGCGCCCCGCCCCCCGCCCTCCGCGCCCCGCCCCCCGCCCTCCGCGCCCCGCCCTCCGCGCCCCGCCCCCCGCCCTCCGCGCCCCGCCCCACCACCGTACAGTGCACGCGCGCCCACGCTGCTTCGCGGCTCGACGTTTCGCGCGACGCCGCTTAGCCAGGGCAGAGTCGGTTGGTCCCGAGGTGGGGGGGGGGGCGAACAACACGGCCATTGCCCGAGACGCCAGCGAGCAACTAAATCCGTGTCAACTACGACTGTGGCAGCGTGTTGCTGTTCGCTCTGACGTTCTGGGCCTGTGCTCAGCAACTCTCTAGAGATGTAAATATCGTCTCTGTGATAGAGGCCTTTTTGGGGGGTTAGATCGCATTGTCCTTGAGCTGTGTGACGCCTTTTGGTGTCATCTGGTCGAGCACCAATTTGGTGGAGGCTCAAGAGAAAGCCGTCCCTTGGTGTGGACCAATCAGTTTCAAGGACAATGCATCATATATTATCATAGTATGTTTTTTTGTTTGCATTTTGACTGCAGGTATTGTGGTTAATGCAGTAACATGAATCCTCGTAAAAAGGTTTCAGATTTGTTGCCAGAAAAAAGGGGGAAAACCCTATTATATAAATGTGTCGTTAAACCCGCCACCACCCGACAGCTTGTTAGTAAGCTTTGTCACGTAAACATAAGGTGCCAATTCGTTACTAATACAGCACACCGGTGTGTTGGAGAGCAAATCCACAACATTCAACACACCGGTGTGCTGTATTAGTCACGGATTAGGATGTTCTGTTTACGTGACAAACCTTACTAATTTAACACGTAGGCTTTCGCGACCATTTATAAATGTGTCGTTAAACCTGCCACCACCCGACACAGCCAACTAGTAAGGGTTGTCACGTAAACAGAACATGCCAATGAAGCTGTCTTCACTGGCGTTCCTCGAAAGATGATTACTGGCGAAACGTCGTAACTTCAGATTGTAAATGTGGCTTGGCTCTCCAACACACTGGTGTGCTGTACTAGTACTATACACTACTATACACTACTGCTATACACTACACTACTATACACTATACTGCTATACACTACACTACTATACACTAATATACACTATACTGCTATACACTACTATACACTACACACTAATGCTGTACTAGTGACGAATTGGCCACGTTCTGTTTACGTGACAACCTTTACTAGTTGGCTGTGTCGGGTGGTGGCGGGTTTAACGACACAACATTTATATATTTACGTGATCTAACCCCCCCCCCCCCCCCCCCAAAAAAAAACCCAACCTATTTCATGGATGATGTTGGTCGCGAAAGCCTACGTGTTAAACTAAATACCTGTATCAATAAAGACCGTAGTGTGTCTCACTAAACCTCCAGGGTACTTCCCAAGAAGCTAGAAAGCTGTCATGTGGTACATAGGCAGCGTTTAGGACACAGACAACAGGAAACATTTCTGAGAATCGGTGATTTTTTTATTTTAAGGTCCGCAAATCTCGATTTTAAGTGCCCTGTAACGTGCATGGTGTCATTTAGAAACAGTTCGAAATATACGATTACGGGGTTTTTTGTTTGATAGAGTGCTAGACGGCAAATAAAATTAAAGCGAGAACCATTCTATCTTTTAATTGTTTTTGAGATATTTCGGATTCCAGTGGCTTTGAACGAAATTTTTTTTCATGATCAAATCAGAATAATTCGAAAGTGGTAAAAGATAACAAGAGCTTCCCCTCAGAGACTTAAGTTGATTATTTTTTGTTCTTTCCTTTAGGGACGTCTTTAAATATAAGAAGTTGATATTCTTGGTTCTTTCGGTAAAGTCACGTAAAGAACCAAGAATATGAATCCCTGCAGTCACGAAAGCTTTAAATAAAAAAATAAGAAGTTGAATCAAGTCAACAATTTTTGTTTTGTGGGAAAATTCAGTGTCTTGATCGTAAAATACAAATTGCCAAAAAAAAGTCAGGTTCATTATATGTATTTAAAACTTTTGGCAGGCGAACACAGCCTTTATGAACTAGTTATAAATACAATATTCTACACACCAGAGGGCCCAGAGGCTCATCAACCTCAGATACCGGTTGGCAGTGGCGATGGTGCGGATTTCTCGTGGCACGCAGGAGGGCCTTTATAGGTGCTTACGATTGCTTGTGTTGTGATCGAAACGTCGTGATATTGTTATTAGTTTGATTATATTGTTTTTCTATCTACGTGGCTTTACCTAAAGACCCAAAGAATACAGTATTGTGGTTTATTTGTGGCAAGCACTTTGTAACGAGGCTTTGGGAGGCTCCTACTAAAGCCAGGAGGTGGCTATGCACCCCTGTAACCCACCAGCACTGTGGAGCCAGCGAGGGTTGCTGGATCGTACATATACTCTTTGGTTCTTTCGGTTAAGTCACGTAGGTTAAAAATAAAATCTCTACAGTAATTTTGCTGTGCTTTTTACACCTGATGAAGGAAGCTTGTGTTGCCTCCGAAACGTCGTGATTTAATTTAGTTGTTTTTATTTATTATTATTTTACCTACGTGACTTTTCCGAAAGAACCAAAGAGTATGGATCCTTGCAGTCACGAAAACTTAAAATCTAGAATGGATCGTACATATGTTGTGAAACTCCCTTCCCGTGGGCGTCAAGCAGGAGTTTATACCATGGCTAGCCAGGAGATAGCGCTATAAGCAAAGTGCTATCATCTGATCCTGGCAAAAAGGTCAAATTTTGTAGCTACTCACCCCAAGCTATTCATGCTCTGATGTACTGTTCGCCTTTCGGCGTTCTCTGGTGTGACACTGCTGAGACGAGGTTATAAATAAGTCTGTCTCTGGTATAGACCAACCAGTTTAAAAAAACAATGCATACATTATTAGCATGTACATTATGTTTGCATGGTCACCACAAGTACGTGTGGTTAATGCAGACATGATTCCTTGCAAAAAGTTTCTATTTGGTGTTTGAAAATTTTAACACCTGCTTTATTGCCAGATAGGGTACATACCTATTCTTATTTTTTTCATGCTATCATTTGTTCCTTCTGTATTGTAAAGTGTGAATCCCCTCGCACAAATAGCGGGGTTTTCTCTCTCTCCTCCCACGTGCAAACATTCACTCGTTGGCCAAAAACACGAATATACAGGAAAAAAATCCCCGTTTTTTCAACCAAACAACTCGCAGGCCCCTTACAATGCATCGCGGGGTTCATATTTTCAACACACATTGGTGCGGCGTCCAACCGATGCTTCTATCTTCGCCCACATGCGGTCAGGTTAGCCTGTAAGTTCTACGAGATCTGCGGACGTCTTCCATGGGGCGTTATAAGGAGGGGAGGAGGTGTACCTCTGACTTGGGGAGGGGGGCTGTGGAGGGTGGTTTGGGGTAACCTAACCACCCTGAAAATAAAAAAAACCTACATGCGGCTCCCCCGTCCTCTCCACACTCGTCGATGGTTCCTCCTCGAGAATTCGTTCTCCCTCTCTTCCGAGGTCGAGAGAATGCTGTGCGGCGGCGCGGTACGAGCTGGCGAGATTCAGTCAAGGGCCCGACCTCGTGGAACATTGTCCTAGAACAGGGGTGTCGGCAACCTTGCGGCTCAGGAGCCGCTTGTGCGGCTCATTACGAACTGCTTCCGAACGTAATGTGTGTATGTGATGGGGAGCGGTAGTGTAGCGGTTCGTGCCCTGCACTTCGAATCTGGCGACCTGAGTTCGATTCCCACTCACGGCCAACACCAGTGACGATTATCTGAACCGGTCCTGGGCCTCCCCTAGGTCGTCTCAGTTGGCCTTCATAGGTGCTCGCTAACAGCACTTCTCCCAACAGTCTATTCCAGGCTATACGGGAAATCGTCAGGTCAGGACATGACAGTCTGTGTGAACTCGCGAGAGCACGTGACCGGACGAGGGGGCACGGGGACCCCCAGATAGGGGTGAGCGGGCCACGTGATGTGGACCCAGAGCCTCCGCTAAGGATCGAGGCGATATAAGCCGCCTTCTTCGGTCTCGGCGCACGACGACCAGACAGCGTGTCGGCTGTTCTGGTTCAACCATTAGTGATTCCGTTCAAGTGGTTATGTAGTTAAACCGAAATTAACATAGTTGCCTGGAATGTACATAGTTAACATTGAGTAGTTGTTGGTTGTGTTAGTGGTTCAAGTTGTGTCAGTAAATAAACGTGTTGCATCCAAGACTTGGTGTGCGCCTGGTTAGAACCCACTACGTATGTATGTGTGTGTGGGGCAGTTGTGGAGAGAGTGGAGGGTTTCCCATACCTGGGCAGTGTGCTCATGACTGGCTCCAGTTTGACAGCAGAGGTCTCACTGAATCAGTCAAGCGGCATTATCTTTTTATCGGTTGCATAACGCTGTGTGGAAGCTACCTGGTCTGTCGCGCTGCACTAAGCTTCAGGTCTTCTTGGCCACGATCATTCCCTCCCTTCTCTATGCTTGCGAAACAAGGACCCCCCTTATGGAACATCTTCGCCGGTTAGAAACATTTAGGCTGGCCTGCCTAGGTTTAACAAGGCTGGATTGTGTGGGGAGCTCACATATCCTTGAAAGATCTGGACAAATACACATAGGTGAACTCCTCCGGCAGGCAAGGCTGCGTTGGCTGGGTCATGTAGCCAGCATGCCCAGTCTCTGCATGCCTAAACAGCTTTTGTTCGGCCGGATAGAGGGGGCTAAATGGGCAAGAGAAGAGATGGAGTGACGTGATAGAGGAGGATATGGAGCTGAGTGGACTTGCCGATGACTGGTATCAGCGGTGTCAAGATCGGCCTCTGTGGAGGAGGCTCGTGAAGGACGCTGCTGGGCAGTTGGAGGCAGTCGCCCTCCAACAACAACGGTGGGCGGAGGAGCGACGCTCACAACAACGAGCGGAGTGCCGGGTGGCTAAAGCACAGCAAGTTGGCACATTAGGGGCACAGGTGGTGCATCAGCCAGTCATCTCAGTCATCTCAGTCGACCCGTGGCACCTGGGTCTGCCCCATGACCTCCTGCCAGCGGGCGTTCGACACTTCACGTGGCCTCAAGGTGCACATAGCCTGGCACAAGCGTCGTGATGACGTCACCGCCACTTAGTCATGAATGGCGGTTGTTGTGTATATGTGTATTCACATTCATTGTGGATCTTGAAGTGTTGAGTATTATATCGAATTCGTAAAAAAAAATGCCTCTTGTTATTTTGGTTGCCGACCCCTGGTCTAGGAGAACAGATATATATAATATAATTAGAAGAATGTCTAAAAACCTGGCTAACTCGTGGTGCTCCAGTTGATCGGTTTTCTTATCAAAACTCAAGAATTCCCATGAAAACCAAGTTTAGTCCATGCACAGCTCGTTTATACTTTTGTAATATCACAAGGGAATGGACTCGATTACCAGTAGACGGAAATATTGACTTTATTACCTTCAAATCTATGCATATAAATCAGCTCAAGCCTCCAGTAAATCACGTGACTTGTGTGTGACCACCCTCAACTCTGAATCCCTCCCCTCTCCCCGCCCACTGTGAAAACAGTCGCTGCTCTGTGCAGTTCACTCCTGCCTGCTCCTTCTCTCTGTCTTCCCTTCCCTCTCATCGTCGCCCTCTCATCCCCCACATCTCGGCCCGGTCAAACCTTCTCCTCCCCTCCGTGCCCGGTGCTCCTCCTCTTTCCACTGCTCTTGAGCCGTACCCTCTCTGTCTGTCTTGGGGACTTCCGTCCCGGCATCCCTTCCTTTCTTTTATTTCCATTACCGTTCAATTTACTTTTTCCATACATCATATCCTTGACTCTACTCCCTATCTCGTGGTGTGCCACGGGTAACACAACTTGTCATATTAATACGAATTATTGTTGATACTTTATGATTATTATTATTCACTGGTGTGTGTGTATGTATGCGTTAAACCATTTGTGAGCTGGGGTTGTGGCCTGTTAGTCGAGTAACCAAGCGGTCCCTGGGCGCTGGCCTCCTCCACTCCCCCACAACGCCCGGGTGGATCACGACCTGCGAGGACATGGGTCACATGCTCTGGCTTGCGACTGTGAGATCCCAACATGGGTTGAGGCTCTGCTGTGTCCCAAGCAGGCCAGTCATCTAGGCAGACTACGTTTGTGTGCATGTTGAACTTCTTTTGCACCGTACGTAGCCAACCGTGCTAATCGGAGGTGTAGGGGAAAGACAACAAACTAAACACAAAATGCAGAGTCAGGGACGATTGGGTGCAGGCTCCATCAAAATGAACTCAAACTCCCTGAAATTACCAAAATATTGACGTGATGGCCCTTTAAGAACGATATAAGCCAAAGCTGACTCCTCCACCATCGGGCAGAATAATCCACTTTTACTTAATTTGACATTTTCAAATGCTGTAATAAAATGGGCATTATTCCTTTTGCCACTTATTTTACAATATGAAATAGTTACCGTTAAAAGTACGATTGAAAATGTGAGTGTGGGATTAGTCTGGAAAGCCTGTGTAAACCCCACGCATGCAAGAGGATAATGCAACCACCGGTAGCCAGAGCCATTCGTAGGGTGCACGGTGAATTGGGGCGACTGCCCCGAGCCCCGTTAAATTGAAGGCGTCGGGGGGCCCACACGGTGCGATCTACCCCAGGCCCTGTACCCGCCCCTATGGACGGCCCTGGCGGTAGCATAGATTGCCTGCCCGAAATCTACTTAATCTGTCTTCGATTCCATATAGGCATTGCCCTGCAGATGTCTCACACACATCATCACAACAGACCCAAATGCTCAAAATCAAGCAATTCATGATTTGCATATTTGTAATTCACCAAAACGAACGTTGCGAGTCACCGATTTAAAGACATGCATCCCCTACAAAAAGCTAAATTATAATTGCTCTGCATTGCAATCAACACAATTATATAATTATGAGTGCTGTTTAAAGTGACATTGCAATTTTACACCTGATTGTTTTTTTTGTCCACTTTCATCCCAATTGTGCTATTTGTATCATGTCGTGAAGTATCCATTGGGAACTCCGACAGAACAGTGCAACCCACTTGAGGCGATCGCCAATTGATAGGCCGACACTATCGACACACTATCGACCCGCTACACTTCAAAGAAACTGCGTTAATCAAGAGTGGCTGCCCAGATTTAAACACAAAAATCTCAGCAGTGCCGGCTCAGTGATTTGACCCCTGGGCTACCAGGCACCGGACTTTTTTTTCTTATATTTTTATGAATCCACATTTGCATGATCTAAAAAGCGATCTCTTAAATTTGAAATGCAATTCTATTCTATTAATCATTCTATTGAGCATTAAGCCAAATGTGGCTCCATGGTCTGAAATTGTCGCAATTTGTCACCTGCACAGAGCTATCCAACTATTGGTCATCCCGCAGTCATCCCTCGGTCAACCCTTCTCCATCTACACGTCATTTTATACTTACTCATCTAATCAGTTATCCACAACTAGCCTCGTAACGAGTCACGAGACCTCTTTTCAATCATCGAAGTTCACCCTCTCTCAGTCACCCACATTAATCAACAGTCATCTTCTGCTCTGTCGTCCGTATCCAGGTGTTCACACTTAACCTACAAAGAATTATCCATGGAATTTTGCGGTCAATTGTCAAATCCATGCACACTTAACTAATTCACAAAGTCGCCCAAACCCAGCGTATGACAGTCACGTGTATGGCTGTGCTTGTACACCATTTCCAACGGTACATCCCTTAGTCTGAAATCATTCTCGACGCGAGCCTAACAACCCCCATTCACCCAACGGCACCATCAACCCCACGCAGCGATCTCCCTGCGTTCGCGTGCGCACGCACCACCCGCCGCTCCTCGCCCCTCGCGCTTCAGTCGTCCTCGTCGCCGGTGGCCCATGCAGTGAGCTGGGCCTCGTGCGTGGCGCACACCACGCCCGCCTCCTCCCCCGGCTCGCAGTCATGAACTCCTACGCCCCGGTGCCGGCACGCCATGAGCGAGCGCTCGCCGCCGCCGCAGCTCACGTCGTCCAGCAGCAGCGGCAGCGCGCCGCCCTCGCCGAACTCGGCGCGCTTGGAGGCGCGCAGGGCACCGGGGAAGCCCAGCTGACGGCACACAACGGTCGCCGCTGGCAAGGCCCAGCGGTCGTCGCACACCGTGCCCCAGCGGCCGCCCGCGAACACCTCGACGCGGCCGCGGTGCCGGGCCAGGCCGCCTCGCTCGCCTGCCAGCCGCACGGCGCCCTGCCGCGGGCGCTTCCCACCCTGCATCCCCCGACGAAGGAACCGCGTCGGGGTGAAGTCAAATGCCCTGGTGCGTGACTTGGCCCCCATCAATCACGTCCGGGGACCGATAAGGCGAGGTGACGCTTTTGCGGGGATTACTTTAGGTAGCATCACTCGCCCTGTCGCATTGTGGAATTTGCTCATCACCCATTCACAGCTCAGAGGCTGTGAATGGGTGATGAACGCCAATGCCTCAATGCGCACGTGAGCGGAAAATCACTTATGACTTTTGAATGCATGCTGAGGCAGCGGTGTGGTCTCCTATACCAACTGATTTTATTAACACCACTACAAAGCCCTATGCACACCCTACCATCACTGTATTAAGTTAAACCGTGGATTAATATTTCTTCCTCATAACTTTGTTTTCATTATAGCTGATCATAAATCTGGGATAAGATTCATGTTAGCAATTAATATTTGTGTATTATTGAAATATTTAAAAAACCCAGCCTTTGTGTATCAAACAAGGCACATTAGTGCCCTACCCTCATTGACTATAGCATATCCTGTGGGATTTTAATATTGATTTGAAGCTTTCGTGATTGCAGGAATCCATACGGTAGAGTCACGTAGGTAGAAATATTTTGTTTTATTTCAGAGGCTGTGAATGGGTGATGAACGCCAATGCGTCCATCACCTACTGGACTTTACCGAAAGAACCAAAGACTGTGGGATTTTATTCCAATATAGGGTTAGGGTTAAGATTATGAAGCTTATTAAAGTAAAAATGTTTTTTTAAAGATATTGGTGTGCAACAGGCATATCCTACAGCATCATAATTTTCTACCACGTAATTCAAGAAGGATTCCATGGCTGGACCAGTGGAATGTGTGCCTGGTACAGATATAACTAGATGCTGATCAATGCCCGAGTGTAATTAAGGGTTGGCTCTCTCCTGGTCAACCCATGCTATTGTGTACATATGCTGTTGACTTGGTGATAACTGCTCATTCTGAGAAGGAGTTTTCAGGCTCTGCTGCTGAAGTTGGAGCTAGCCACTCAGATGCCTTGCCATCAGCCCCACAAAAACAAAGCACCTGGCCGGCTCCTACACGTCATTGCACACCTCTCAACTGTGAGTGAGGTGGTGGCTGCTGCGAGGGCGGTGGAGTTTCCAATCCGTGTGTGTCCAATCTGTGTGTGATTGTATATGCTGATCTCATCAACGAGCACAAACGATCACTTGAACTCTGGTCATCCTCACAGCAGCAGTGGCGGCTTTTTGGCTGGCCATCGAGCAAAGGCGGTCACCGCATCGCGTGGCACTTTCAGATGCGCTGCTTCTGCTGCCGTCTGGTAACGCTCTTCTTTCCGATGTTAGGAAGCCACTGAAGCTGTGCACTTTTAAATCATCATCTAGATTGAAAACGCCCCTCCTCCCCGTTTCTTTTACCCCCTCACTTAAGTTCTTCCTCCCTTGTCTTCCACTCCCCATATCAAATTCAGATGCCCCACTCGCAGTCCTCACTTGGGTGAGACAGCGAGCCCATTTGCACTGTAGGAGCGGCGCAAATCTGAAATTTACTCAATTATTGCTATTGTGCGTGCATTTGCTGGATCTCACTCCACGTGTGCCCTCGTGGCCCTGTGGCCTGTACGGTGCGAAATAAGTTCAACATAGTACAACATGCATCTTGGGAAGAGACGTTCAGCTGTGAAACTTCACGAGCTTGTGTTCACTGAAAATATTTGAGCATTAACCCCAAAGATTGCAGCCCCGGAAACTCTGGTCCCACCTGCTTTGTGGTGGAGTCCTTTCTCCTCTTTGACGCGGTCGGACGCTGAGTTGCGTCCGGAATGTTCTTCTGTGGGGTCGACTGGGTGCCTGGCAGGATCCCGTACTCGTGGTAGTTGAAGGTGTGGGAGCGTCCTGCCGTGTCCGGCTGCCGGTCTGGTGTGGGCCGCCTCTGTGTCACCTCGGGCCTCTGCTCTTGCCTGGGTGGCTGCGTAGTGCTGGGAGCCTCCGTTAGGGGCACCTCATCCAGGATCAGAGCTGCAACGTTGTCAAGAGAGTTTAATCGTTCACGTTTCGACTTATCCCGCGTGTGGCTGCGTGTGTGACTGCATTAAAAGTCGTTGGTGAAGTCGCCCTATTTTTATTTAATTATGGTTTGTACTGCCGCACAGGTCGTTGCAGTATTTATGGCGTTACCTACACAACATGGAAATGAAACCGTAGAATGTGTTGCTTCCTAAAGTAATCGGTGTACCTGCTGATACGTGTGCAGTCACGTGGGTAGTGAGTCACTGACCCTAGACAAGTGAGGAGCAGCTAATAATCAAATCAGCGTGCAAAAAATATTTTGTTCGATTCGTGTGTATGATGTTTAACTTCTTTCGCACCGTACATAGCCAACCGTGTGCTAAGCGGAGGTGCGGGGGAAGGACAACAAACTAAACACAACAAGCAGTTTCTAAAGAAATTAGTTTTCAACCTAGATTTAATAGCGCATATCTACAGTGGCTTACTAACATCGTAAGGAAGAGCGTTCCATGTGCATCCCCCATGTCTTTCCTTCCCATCAAAGATGCGACGAGGACTTACTCTCTCTGGGGATGAAGTCCACGGTCTTTCCCAGCACATGCACAGGTCTCGGTTCCCAGTGGCAGCTCCCTGGAGGGGCACGGCTGCAATGGGAGATGGCGTTCGGTGTGGAGAGGTGCGGGAGATGCAAATGGCTCAGCCCAGGCGTGGGTTTAGTACAATTTCTAAACGATTTTTATTTTACCAGGTAAGGCCCACTGAGCTATGTAGCTCTTTTTCAGAAGCGACCTGACTATCAAATGATAGCTCAACGAAGTGGCTTATCAGCTGGAAATTTACAGCAGACAAATACTCTAAACGCACGTTGATTTTAAATGTGGAGGGGAAAACCGGAGGACCCGGATACAAATCCACGCGACCATGAGGAGAGAGGCACACAAACTCCAAATATACAGCAGGCATCGTCAGGGTCGGGATCGAACCCCCGACTTCCTGCATACCAGGTGAGGTAGTTAACATCTCACCACCATGGCACCCATCGGCATATTCAGTGAAACCTATATTGTTCACGATGAGATATCCGTGACGATTCATGGGGATGGGGTCATAGGTTCGCCATCTAAAACGTCGAGGTTTTTGTTGTCATTTGGCAACATTTCTATCAAATTTCAAAAATTTATTTATTACATTCATTATGTAGCAAGAGTATACAATATTGTGTTTTTATGGGGCTCTCAACCAGAAGTTCAGCAAATAAAACGTGCCCATTTTTTGTTCGCTGCGTGAGATGCTGTGCTACTCATAAAGCCGTCACGGTTTTCCCCATACATGCTGTCCAGCCCCCTGCGTGTTTCACCAAGTACCGTGAGGGATCCACGATCTTGTACAACGTTCCGTGTGGCTCCGTGGCAATGGCGAGAGGGGTGGACATGAAGTAGAGCTCGCCTTTTGAGAGACGCACACGCAGCAGGCAAGGATTCTCCATTTCACACTTTGTAGGGGGGAAGTGATATTAGCAAACACCTCTCTAGGCCATCAGCGCGGTTGATTACGTACGGTGTGAAAGAAGTTAAACAGATATACATATATACAAAGCAGCAGTGGCATTCCCCAGTGCTTATGACAACAAATCACTTCGAGGCTACCATAAATCACAAGAAGGCCGAGCTGCTTCAAATGCAAGTTTTTGTTCCTGGATGTAAACAATTTGGCCAAGAATCGATCTAAGATTGCAGTGCCTATGTTCCCCTGCACATTAAAAAACAGCAAACCCTTCACCGCTATGTGGCAATGCCATCACGGTGGCGAGATTTTAACTACCTCGCCTTGGCATACATGAGGTCGTGGGTTCGATCCCGACCCTAACGCCTGTTGTATATTTGGAGTTTGCGGTGGCTCTCTCCCTGTGGTGGTGTGGATTTTTCTCTGGGTCCTCCGGTTTTCCCTCCACGTTACAAAGCAACATCACGCGTTTAGAGTGTTTGGCTGCTGCTATACATGTCCATATGATAAGCCACTTCGTTGGGCTATCTGAAAAAGAGCTATGTAGCTCAGTGGGCCTTCCCTGATAAAGTAGAAATAGTTTATAGTTTTCCGCCACAAGCTACGTATGTGCTTTGCTGGCCCCTTGGGCTTGTGCCAAGCAAACGGTGATTACAAAAACACCTCACGAGGGGTCACGTCGTGCGTGTGGCGTGGTGACGTGGGGCAGCTTTAGCACATTCGCTGCAGAGGTTCTGAGTTCAAATGTGGCAAGCCTCCGTGGTCAGGGCGCGTTTACTTCACAGTGGATGTTAAAGATCTCCCGACGTCATTCGAAAATGAGTCGGCCATTGCGTACCAATAATAGGAAGCCAATGGGAGCTATGCACTCATAAATCTAGAGCGAAAACTCATTTCCTTACAACTGCTTTTTGTGTGTGTAGTTTGTTGTCCTTCCCCCGCACATCTCCGATTAGCATGGTTGGCTTACATACGGTGTGAAAAAAGTTCAACATACATGCATAACAGTGTTATGGCCAGAATTTCATAAGATCCCCTGGAAATTACTCAATTGGGATGACACGCAACAATCATCATTCCCGACTGGCAGACTGTCTGTGAAACACAGCACCTGCATTATAGCCTTGCTGGATCTCACGCCACGTGTGCCCTGGTGGCTCTGTGGCCTGTATACGTTTGAGGGTCACATGGTGTGTGTGTCTTGGTGGGCCGTGTGTTTTACGAGCCTTGGTGGGACTGTTGTTCGATTGCCTGGGTGCACTCTATAGTGCACGGGCCCCTCGGTAGACCCGATGGCACGTGATTCTTATTTTATTTTATGACACTTCATTTACCCTGGAAAGCCTCGCAGGGTCACATGACTCTTTTTTTCATAAAGGCTATGCTCAGTTTTCCCCAATGCAGTTGGTGATGATCACTTATTTGTGTGATTCCAATTGAGCAATTTCCAGTGTAAAGTTTTCACATTTGGCAATTCGTGGCCATGGAGCCAGGTCACAGTGGCCGGCTCTTTAACGTCGGCTGCAAAGCGGACAGAGCGGAGTACTTTTACGTCTATCACCACAGTGTTAATCGGGGCAGCCCGCTGAATATCGAACCGCGAGCCTCTGCAAATGAACGGACAACAGGCTACGTCTGGGCCGTGTGACCGCCATGGCGCGTGCGTGTCATAGCCTTCACCAGACTCGTCCTCTCCAAAAGAGATGATGCCGCTGTGGTAGTTGTTGATGAGTCCTGGGAAGGCGCAAGTCTGACCAGTGCCCATGCACAGATCACGCTTGTGCCACGCCCCGTCTGGACCCTCCTCCAAAGCCATTAGCACCCTGCCGTACAACACCACACGGGAACGTGCACTCGTGGACACGTGCACGCGTGCACAAAGCATACGCACACAATGCACATGCAAACTTGCACAATACATATGCGCACGTACACAATGCAAATGGACACATACACAAAAAAATACAAAAACAAAGATCCCCCTTATAGCCTTAACAGACTGTAGGGGAAGTGCTGTTAGTGAGCACCTATGAAGGCCAGAACGGCACAGGAGGGGGTGGGTGGCCAGCACCACGCCCGACCGCCTTCGTCTCCCCAGCGGCGATGTTTACACACCGCACCAGGTACTCATTTGAGGCTGAGTCGACCTAGGGGAGGCCCAGGACCAGTTCAAATAATCGTCTGGTGTTGGCCGTGAGCAAGAATCGAACACGGGTCGCCGGGTGCATAGCGCAGCGTGCTAACAGCGACACTACCACTCTCTACAATGCACGTGTGCACACACACCATACGCGTGCGCACGCACACCATACGCGTGCGCACGCACACAATACGCGTGCGCACGCACACCATACGCGTGCGCACGCACACCATACGCGTGTGCACGCATACAATACACATTGGCGGATACACGCATTCACAAAAAATGCTACCGAAATAAATAAGTAAACACATTTGAAAAAAAAAACAACTCCGACTGGAGCACATTGTATGCGCACGACTAAGTTGCACGTCTTGGGAGATGTCATGCGTGGGTGCAGTCGTCATTCTAAAGCCGTACGCTTCTCTTATCCGTCGTATGGGATTGGGTGAGCCAACCCGCATGAACACCAGGCTCTCCCTCATTTTATATGGCTATTACATTTTTAAAAAGGCGATTCAACTTTTAAATCCGGTGTCGCCGGTCTTCCCTGCCCCTCTTCCTCCCGTAATGAATCCTTAATGAGGGGGGACAGGTCGGCTAAATATGTAGTGAGTTCAACTGAGTCGCAGACGTACTCTTTGGAGGCAACACATTTATTAATACCAACATACGGGGTAACTGCCCCTTAACAAGATAACAACCTATGGTGGCGGATCACTAGGCTAACTACGCCAATTACACCGTAACTAGCTATGATGGATCGGACCACAGCCTGTGTCCCGATCCACGTGTTGGTGACTGTAGGACGTAGAACGTAGAACGTAGATTCTTCAAGATGAATAACAGCAGCCGGTCCCTCTCGGGGACCTGGCTTATATCCTCTGTGGCGTGGCTGGCCCCGCCCTTAGCCACGACCACCTTCTAGAATCTCCGAGCAGGATCTCGACCCTGACACGTGACCACCCCTAGCCCCCACTTGGGGGCGGTCACGTGTCCTCTGGGGTCAACCAGAGTGCCACGGCCTATAGTAACCCCATTCCTGTGGCCGGCACTCTCACACCCTATCCTGTAGGGGTCGGCACTGCACGCAGAGCGTGGTGCCATCCAGCGCTGTCAGTCAGCGCTCACCAAGCCTCTCTAGGGCCAGTACTGCACCCACATGTACGTGGTGTCCGCGATGTCAATACATCGCACGCCGTGCCTCTCTAAGGCCGACATTACAGTGACATCTGCGATGTCACTACAAATAGACAACAACAGCAACAATAAAAACACATTATAAAGTTCGGAGACTAAGTAAATGCGGCTCCGCGTTGTTGTTCTGTCTTCCGGAGAAGCTGGGCGACTCCACAAGCACCAGGGGGGTGTTTGTGAAACGGCAAGACCCTCATTTAAAAAAAGTCTTCCTCGAAAGGGCAGTGGCGTATCAGCACGGAATCCGCCCAATCTAAACTCTGCTGTGCACGTGGAGCTCGGGGTACAATCCCTGATCACCGTTGCATTCAATTAACTATTTAAAAAATGCACCTGGCTACCCTGTAGCTATTACAGCCATGAAACGTACATACCTGTCAACCCACCACACGGTTTAATAAAACTCACGCATGGCTCAAATGTTGAAGGCAATGTATTGTTGATATGCGTTCGAAAAAAAGACACTCCACAACTCAAACGATTTTACTCGGACACACACACTGGTTTCTGTCAATGTAGATCCATAGTTAATATCGCATACCTGTCGGCCCATACAGTTTACCCCGTATTCTTGTGCAGGGAAATTGCGTTTTCAGGTCCATACGGCATACAGCCATTTCAATACGGGCAACATTTTTGTCTCTATGTTTGTGTTTCTCCTTCGTGATGGGACTTTGTCGGATGAACGTTGATATTGATCAGGGTACGGGTGACCAATAAAGTCTGAATTGGCCTGTAACAAGGTAGGTGCTGATAAGGTTTTGACAACTATGAATGTAATACAAACATTTTTATTCGGGTCCCATATACTGCGGTGCGCAATTATGTGCGATTATTCACAGGTGAGCTCACACCGGCTACACCAGCAACGGTCGTTGAGATGAAGCGACAACGGGCGGGCGTTCACTCACCCACTCATGAAGTCTCCGAAGATGTAGAGTCCGTTGAGGTTGGGGGACTCGCAGCCTCGATAGACGTAACCCCCCGTCACCGACTTGCCCACCGAGTGTGGGTACGCGAAGATAGGCAGGATGTCATCTGCACCACGCCATCGCAGCGGCAGGGTGGGGAGTGGGAAAACATTCGCAGGTGTGCGCCATGCGTCGTTGGTCAGCAACGCGGAATGTTCCCGGCTGTCAGCCGAGATATTAGTACACACAATGGACATGAAGGACAAGATCAATGGGCTCGCATAATGTGCATGCATAATGTACGTTGCCTCATTAATCATCCCCCTCCCCCCCACTTTGCGCAAGAGCGCACAAGGGCAGTCACCACATCTACGTCTCTATTTAAGGAACGAAACAGGTGGACTTCTCCACAAATCTGGCTGTCGCCTGATGAAGCTAGTTGTAGTTACTGGTGAAACGTCGCACTTAGATAGTTAACGTTGTGGCTTGGCTCTCCAACATACTGGTGTGTTGTACTCGTGACTAATTGGCATATCCTGTTTACGTGACAACCCTTACTAATTGGCTGTGTCGGGTGGTGGCGGGTTTAACGACACATTTATATATTTACATGATCTAACCCAAAACAAATCCTCTATTATGGATGATATTGGTTGTGAAAGCCTACGTGTTAAACCGAGATTGAGTGTCGGATCACAGGCTGGGGGTGATAACCACTTGATTGATGGGGGCTGGCAGGACTCGATGAAGTAGGGCGCCACGGTGGTGAGATGTTAACCACCTCGCCTGGTATACAAGAAGTCGTGGGTTCGATTCCGACCCTGACGCCTGCTGTATATTTGGAGTTTGCGGTATCTCTCCCTGGGGTCACGTGGATTTTTCTCCGGGTCCTCTGGTTTTTCCCTCCATATTTAGAATAATGCGTTTAGAGTATTTGGCTACTCTCCATTTCCATGTGATAAGCCACTTCGTTGAGCTCTCATTTGTGGCCAGGTCGCTTGTGAAAAAGATCTGTGTCGTTCAGTGGGCTTTACCAGGTAAAATAAAAACAGTAAGTTATGTGGCCAACACAATGTATGCCCAGCTGCCTCTGCCTCCCTGGTATTGATGCTTAATAACGATCAAAATAACTTATTATCACTCTAGACTCCTTAACAATTTAAAGTTTGCTCAGCACAGAAACAAGTAACAAATATAAAGTCCCGAGAATAAAACGTGGATGGCTAACCTCCGAATAAAACAACTGAACGCTGTCAACAGGATTTTAGCGAAGGAGTTGAACCCAATAAATCAAAATCATGCTCCAAAAGGAATAAACATCCAGGTGGCCGAAATCTTAAAAGCGGCAAAAACGAAGCTGGCTCCCCCGAGTCATGGCTCCCCATCCCACGTGACTGCCGTGGCACCGCAGTGCCCCCCTCCCCACCGAGCGAGGTGTTGACGCAGAGCTTCTTGTCGTAGCATGAGAATCCCTCCCGGGCCCGCCAACCGTAGTTGCCACCCCGCACCACGATGTCAATCTCCTCGAACTTGTTCTGCCCCACGTCGCCGCAGAAGAGGCGCGAGCGGCCCGCGCCCGTCAGCCGGTCGCCGCGATCGAACGAGCAGCGCCACATGTTGCGGGCGCCGTAGGCGTACACCTCGGGCCTGGCGTTGCGCTCCCCCACGAAGGGGTTATCGGGCGGCACACGGTACGGCGCCCCCACGTCGTTGCCGTCCACGTCCACGCGCAGGACCTTTCCCAGCAGGGCAGACCTTGGTGTGGGGTGGCGGGGGTGGCGGCATGTTGAAGCGCGTTAATCTGAGACCGACGATGAAGGGTAGCGCTCCAAATGTGTTAAATGCGGGAATGAGGTGGCTTGTGAATGCCCAGCGCATGAGGGATGGCAGTGAGGTGAGGAGGAGGCCTTTATCCAGCAGCAGTGGATTGATCACCACCATTGATGATGGTGGAGATACATGACAGGTAGGCGCAACAATACAGCTGGCAAGATGTTAACTACCTCACTTGGTATACAGGAGGTAGTGGGCTCGATCCCATCTCCGACACCTGTATATTTGGAGTTTTCATGTGGTCACATGGATTTTTGTCCGGTTTTTCTCTCCACATTTATAAACACGCGTTTAGAATATTTGGCTGCTCTCCATTTCCACGTGATAAGCCACTTCGTTGAGCTATCATTTGTGGCCAGGTCGCTTCTGGAAAAAATATGTATAGCTCAGTGGGCCTTAACTGTTAAAATAAAAATAAAAAACTTAGATTATAGTTTTAGTTTAAGTGACTGGCAGAATGCTCTCACTTATTCTGGGCATTTCCAAAGCGGCCGAAGGGGTCTCCCGCCATTCCCCCATCGCCGGTGAAGATGTAGAGGAAGCCATCTTCACCGAACAGCAGCTGCCCCCCATTGTGATTGGCCGCTGGCTCTGTGATCTCCAAGATGAACCTGGCCAGGAGGTGAGGAGGTGGGGCACAGACACAATCATGGCATCGATCAGATGACCAGGTGAATCATCAAAGTCATCAGCAATTGAATAATCATTACCAGCGTCATAACATGCGATGTATGGTTTACTGGCTCGTTAAGTGTAACGTCTGAAACTTCCTTCTTTTCACCTCGGAAATGGGTTAATTCCTCCAACATGTTCTTTGTTACTAAAGACGTCTCAATAAAATTCATCCACTCACGTTGAGATTTTATCTCTGCCGTATGCCATGGTGGAGCAAGACATCACTTGACGCTTCGTTTTAATGTTTTTGTCGAATAAAGTTGAGTTCAACAACAGCGTTTCCGTATTAAAATCTCTGCTCGCCGTTACAATAGAGCGATCGTGGTAGCTCCGTAACACAGCCAGTGGCTGGCTGGGTGTTGGTGGCTATGCCAGTGGCCTGTAATCCAGCACTGTGGAGGAGAGGAGGGTTGGTGAATCACTGCACAAACGTTGTGAAACTCCCTTCTACCCATGAGCGTCGAGGAAGTGCCCGTACCCTTGCTCGCCAGGAGAAGACGATTACAGCAGCAAGTGGACTGATTGCCATCTGTTTCCGTCTGTATGGGGATAGAGCGTTGTGCGCTAGTGCAAGGCGTGCCCTTTCTCTGACTGCTCCCCTTTCCTCCCCCACTTGTGTAAACAACTCAAACATTTACTGAAAACATCTGAAGAATTAAAAATCCTCGCAGGACCCTCCTGAAAAAAAGAGTCCTTGGACTCAGTGTGGATAAATAAACAACGACTTACATTAAGTTCTGTGTTTGTGTCTCTCCCCACGAGCCACGCTTACCGTTCGGATTTGTGGTCAAGCCGATTGGGATCGTCGGGCCTCCGGATGAACTCGCTGATGCGGATCCTCTCATCGAAATCCACGTAGACAGAGTAGTAGACGTAGACCTTGCCCGTGCGCGCGTAGTCCGGGTGGAAGGCGAGACCCAGGAACCCGCGCTCGTCACCCTCCCACGATGATACGAGCACGGCCTCGCTGATGTTTAGGAAAGGGGTCACCAGGCGGGACCCGCCGGGCAGGTAGACCCACACGACGCCCACCTAAGAGCACCACCAAAGACAAAGACGAAGTTCTCCATTCCCCCCCACCCCTGCATAAGCCTTCACAGACCGTTGGAACTCAACCGCACTGTTAAAGTGGAGAGAAATGAAATGTAATCATTGCACGTGACAATCAGATGTGTACAACAGAAACGCGCTGTCTACAGCTGAAGAAGATGGTTGGGGAGAAACGGGCGGCATGGGAGTGTAATATAAAACATTATTTTATATTCCCGTGTGGGCAAAATTCATTTCACCAACTCCTACAAAGACAAAGATCCCCGTCTAGCCTTAACAGACTGTTGGGGCAAGTGCTGTTTATCGAGCACCTACGAAGGCCGGCACGGCACACGAGGAGGTGGGTGGCCAGCAACCATGCCCGGCCACCTCATTTGAGGCTGAGTCGACCTAGGGGAGGTCCAGGACCGGTTCAGTTAATCGTCACTGGTGTTGGCCATGAGTGGGAATCAAACTCGGGTGCCGGGTTCGCAGCGCTAACCGCTACACTACCACTCCCCCATCACCACCACCAACCTCACCTTCAATGTCACTTGTACCTTTATATAGCTCGTTTCTTAAACAGACACATCATAAACATTACAATTTATATTACATTTATTGCTCATTTTCCTATCAATAACACTGTTGTTTATTCCACATCATCTTGTAATTATTGAAATATACATCATAATTTTGACAGGTAGCAAATATTACACAACCAATTTTGTGATTTATGCAATAGTGGTTTTTTGAGTTAGGGCCACGTAACGATCCGTACAAACCGGTGTCGTAAGACCCTCCACCGCCAACCCAACACGGCCACGCAGGTTAAATCGTCACGCGGCTACGATCGTAGCGGCTCGCTCACCGGTGAGGCGAAGAGCGATTCTCACAAGCGGAGTCAGCTCAATTAAGAGACGCGGACGTTTACGCTTGGAACTGCGCCAAGCATCTTCAGAACAAGATTCAGGCAGTTGGAGCAAAATCCACGAAGTTCGAATGACCTGCAGATGCTTGCAGGCAAAAACAACTTGTCCGATTGCTAAATTTGGTTGAGATAATTTTTCTTCAACTCACCCTAAACAGTCACAATCGGTGCGTCGTTAAACGCGTGTTTACATGCGACAATTTAGTTTGGCTATGTCGAGGTGGTGGAGGGGTTTTACAACATAAATTTTAGTTTCTCATTGCGCGGCCGAGCTCATAAATTATGATTCATCATCATCATCATTATCATCATCGTCATCATTTTCATTACCATTGTCGTTATCATTATCATTGTCGTCATCGTCGTTATCGTCATCGTTATTATCGTCTTCATCGTCATCACCGTCGTCATCATCGTCATCTTTATCATCATCATCGTCATCATCGTTGTCATCATCGGCATCATCATCGTCGTTATGATCATCATCATCTCTTCACCGTCGTCATCATCATCGTCATCGTCACGTTCCTCACCTGCTCGGCCACAAACATGCGGTGCGACCCGTCCCCTGCGTGCACCATGGCCACGGGGTTCCGGAGGCCGTTGGCCACCTCCCGCAAGCACAGCTGGAGACAGCCATCAGCCCCTGCGCACGCACGGGGGGGGAGGGTGTGTGGAGCGGCGCACGTGAGCACCCAGAGCCGGACTCCCCAGCGTCGACCCGCAGCACGTTTGTCGCTAAATTGAGCGTCCCTCGGCGCCCGTAGCTCTACGCGAGTGTCATCCTAAAACGGCAGGGGTGGAGACTGCGTGTCGCGTCTCCCCCTGGGGAGGATGATGCTTTGGTGGTTTCCATTAATCTAGCTCGTTTTGTCTTTCATCAAGTAAAATCAAATTATTACAACTTTTTTATGTTTTACCAGGTAAGGCCCACTGAGCTATACAGCTCTTTTTCAGAAGCGACCTGGCTATCACAAATGATAGCTCAACGAGGTGATGTATCATCACGTGGAAATGTATAGCAGCCCAAATACTCTAAACGTGTGATGTTGATTCTAAATATGGAGGGAAAAACCGGAGGACCCGGAGATAATGGCATGGAAGCACGGTGAGAGAGACACGAAAACTCCAAATAAACAGCAGGCATCAGGTTCGAGATCGAACTCATGAACCTTCTGCATACCAGGCGAGGGAGTCAACAAGAAACGCAATCCTCATTTGTGAGACAATTTCGCAAGCAGACTAAGGTTCGAGCGCGACCTGGAGACACGGAGCATCATGTGGGGGCTACACCATGTGGGGGCTACATCATATGGGGGGCGACAAAAGGGCTACATCCTGTGGGAGCTACATCATGTGGGGGCTACATCAGGTACCCATCAATCCTCTCACTAAACCGCAGAGTGTAACCCTCACCCGGGTGTTTGCCGGATGCGACCGAATTAGGAATGAGACAGGTTCAGCCAACGCGTGCATTGCCCCATGGTTTACGATGGAAGATCACAAAATTATATTTGCCTGTCTTGAAAGACTCAAAAAGAACACAACTCTTTAGAGTAATAACTGGAGTTAATTTATCGTCCAAAAGAATTGTAAACTACACGATTTCCTGCTCAAAAAAACATTGAGGTAATGGTGCTCATCTCCTGTTCACAACCCATGGTGGAAATTCACTATTCATATGGCGGGGCGAATCTATCCATAGGACGACCAACCGTCGATTACCCCACAAAATGGTATCCCTTTTACTGACCCCGAAGAGATGATGGGCTAAGTCAACCCCCAACCAGGAGTTTAACTCGTAACCTTCCCATTCTGAGGAGCCGCTCGCTCTACTGCTGAGCCAAGTGCCACTCTCCCCTTCTGTGATGTTCATCGTTTTCCAGCTATTTGAGAAATTGGGGATGATCCGAAAAATGAATGCGAAACTCGCCAGCAAGGATGCGACCTAGTCCCTTGGAAAACCGCGTGTTTGTGACAACACTGGGGAAGCAATAGTCGGGGTCGCTGAGCGACAAGTAGCGGCAGATGTGCTGCCGATCAGCTTCCAGGTCGCCGGGAGAGCTCTGCAGGAGTTCGTGCAGCCCAGGGGCGTCTGCCTGGGCGGCCAGGAGGCTGAGTGTTGGGCGACAGCGGTGGTGGAAGAGGCTGCAGTAGGCAGGGCACAGGCCCGGCAGGGAGCGTGTCGGGGTTGATGGGTCCTCGGCGTCGTACAGGTGCGCAGCGTACGGCGAGCACACCTGTAAACGAGACGTTGGTGGATTCGTATGTGTAGAGGTCCCCGTGTGTCGTTATATTCGAGTGATTCCCTGACCAAATGAGGATTGAGCCGGTGCTTATCTCCCTTTTTACAGTGGTGGAAATTCCACATTCGTATGGCAGGGGGGCGAGTTTATCCATAGGACAACCACTATTGATTACCCCACAAAATGGTACATATTTTACTGACCCCCAAAGAGATGATGGACTAAGTCAACCCTCAACCAGGATTTGAACTCGCAAGCTTCACGATTGCGGGGAGCTGCTCTCTCTTTCCACTGGGGCCACACGGTGGGAAATGTTGGGAGGCGCCGTGAGGTGTCGGTGTTGACGTTTCTGGGTCTGACGAGTCTTGGGCATCATGCAACCCTGTGTGGCATGCAACGCACACGCCTGGGGTGAGAGGTGCGCCACGGTGGTGAGATGTTAACTACCTCGCCTGGTATACAGGAGGTCGTGGATTCGATCCCGACCCTGACGCCTGCTGTATTTTTAGAGTTTGCATCTCTCTCTCCCCGTGGTCGCGTGGATTTTTCTCCGGGTCATCCGGTTCTTCCCTCCACATTTAGAATCAACATCACCACGCGTTTAGAATATTTGGCTGGTATCAATTTCCACATGATGATAAGCCACTTCATTGAGGTATCATTTGTGGTCGTTTCTGAAATAGAGCTATACAGCTCAGTAAACCTTAAGTGGTAAAATGAAATAAAAATAGCAACAGGACAGGGTAAGATGTATGGGTTTCAGGGTTATTAAGAGAAACAATGTTTAAGGGATTGAAATAAGTTTTATATGGTTACTTGGTTCATAATAGAGGTTTTTTGGGTTAGATGACGTAAATATATGTGTCACTAAACCCACCACCACCCGACAGCCAATTAGTAAGGTTTGTCACGTAAACAGAGCATGCCAATTCGTCACAAGTGCACACCGGTGTGTTGGAGAGCCAAGCCACAACATTAAAAATCTGAGTACGACGTTTCGCCAGTAATTACAACAAGCTTCCTCAGACGACAGCCAGATTTGTGGAGAAGTCCATATCGAGGCGTAGATGTGGTGACAACACTTGTGTGCTCTTCTCGCATGTTTTGGTAGCAAAAGCCTACGTGTTAAAGGTTGCTTGGTTGCAGACAAAGTTTACCGAGAGAGATGGAGAAAGAGATTGAGGTGGCATTATAAGTGGAAAAGGGATATCGAGAAAGAATGAAAGAGCTTCAACTGTAAATCACATTGGCTGTGAAAACTTACGCGTCAAAATGTTGGGTATGCTATGTGGATTTTATGGAGGTATATTTTGTATGGGAGACAGAGCTGTAGACGCTATGGTGTTGTGGAGGGAAATCCTGGAATGTCCAGATTAATATGAACCGAAGGCCTAGAGGGCAGACAAACGGGAGAGATCGAGATACGGAGAGAAGCGCCGCAGAGCTACTGGGGGGAGTTGTTTGATGATTCTCAATATTGTCTTCACTGTCATCCTCTCATCCACGTACTGTATACACATGGGTACTGTGCATATGATGAAGGGTAGGGACTACCGAGACAAATCACGGGTATAAACAATCAATATGAGAGCAGGATGTGTGTGGATTTGTTTGAGGTCACGGGTAAGGAGGGGAAGTGGTAGTGTAGTGGTTCGCGCTATGCTGCGATACGAACCAGGTTACCCGAGTTCGATTCCCGCTCAGAGCCAACACCAGTGACCATTATTTAAACCAGTCCTGGGCCTCCCCTAGGTCGACTCAGCCTCAAATGAGTACCTGGCGTGGTGTGTATACATCGCCACTGGGGAGACAAAGGCGGCCGGGCATGGTGCTGGCCACCCACCCCCTTGTGTACCGTGCCGGCTCCCATAGGTGCTCGCTAAGAGCACTTGCCCCAACAGTCTGTTACAGGCTATACGGGGGGGGGGGGGGGGGGGGTCTTTGTCTTTAGTCATAGGTTAAGAGGAGTCACAGATAATAGGATTGCAGACAAAACAGAGTTTTACTGCAGTCATACCAAAAGTATTATTTGCCTATGAATGACATTTATAAAACATTTATATTTAGAAACGTTTTTTTATTATGTAAATAACAAACAATCCACCAACACAGCAACCCTCTCACGTGATTTTTTCTTTGGGGGGATATTGCACGAATTTTCAAATTTGCAATTTTGGCAGCTTCAGTGCTTGTGAGAAGTGCTGAGGCCGGGACACTGCGGGCCCAGGAAGCACACAGCAACGATCCTTTCCGCTCTCTGGAAAATATTTTCCAAAATAAGCTTGGCTTGTGACCTGAGGAACAGTCTTAGCGGACTGCATTGTTTAAAGTCAGCGTCAGAATCTGTATGTACAGTGAGGGAAAAAAGTATTTGATCTCCTGCTGATTTTGTACGTTTGCCCACTGACGAAGAAATGATCAGTCTATAATTTTAATGGTAGGTTTATTTGAACAGTGAGAGACAGAATAACAACAAAACAATCCAGAAAAACGCATGTCAAAAATGTTACAAATTGATTTGCATTTTAATGAGGGAAATAAGTATTTGACCCCCTCTCAATCAGAAAGATTTCTGGCTCCCAGGTGTCTTTTATACAGGTAACGAGCTGAGATTAGGAGCACACTCTTAAAGGGAATGCTCCTAATCTCAGCTTGTTACCTGTATAAAAGACACCTGTCCACAGAAGCAATCAATCAATCAGATTCCAAACTCTCCACCATGGCCAATACCAAAGAGCTCTCCAAGGATGTCAGGGACAAGATTGTAGACCTACACAAGGCTGGAATGGGCTACAAGACCATTGCCAAGCAGCTTGGTGAGAAAGTGACAACAGTTGGTGCGATTATTCGCAAATGGAAGAAACACACAGAACTGTCCATCTCCCTCGGCCTGGGGCTCCATGCAAGATCTCACCTCGTGGAGTTGCAATGATCATGAGAACGGTGAGAAATCAGCCCAGAACTACACGGGAGGATCTTGTCAATGAACTCAAGGCAGCTGGGACCATAGTCACCAAAGAAAGCAATTGGTAACACACTACGCCGTGAAGGACTGAAATCCTGCAGCGCCCGCAAGGTCCCCCTGCTCAAGAAAGCACATATACATGCCCGTCTGAAGTTTGCCAATGGACATCTGAATGATTCAGAGGACAACTGGGTGAAAGTGTTGTGTACTCTTTGGTTCTATATGGTAAAGTCACGTAGGTAAAAAATAGATCTGAAACACGGCAGAACGAATTCATCTGCTGTGGCTGATCATTGTTACAACGCTATAGGTGATCATGAGATTGTCTTCTCCGATACCAAGGTTCTCTGTAAACCTACAGGTTATCACCAGAGATTTGTCCACGAAGCCATTCAGATATACAAACACAGACATAACTTCAACCGAGAGGATGGTTTCAAATTAAGCAACCATTGGAAAGACGTTTTAACTCATACCAAACGTGAACTAATTTCTAACAGAAATTTCAAGTAATGGTATACCAAGCATATTCCTTTCGAACTTTCTATTAAACCCTTTTTTCTACTCTCCCCTGACAGCACATTCTTGCCGATCTTTAAAAAAAAAATTCGTTTCTATTGCACACGCACAGTGACCCATCCTCCGCATCCTCTACACAAAAACATGCTAATCCCCCAGCTAATTTTCTGACTTTAACACCCTGCTGTTTCAACACTTTAACACAGCTATTGTTGATATGTAAACTCCTTTGTCAAGGCGCCCTGCTCCTCCCACCGAGCTTAAAAGACGCTGCGAATCTTAGCAGGGGTCATTGAAGTGCTGTCGTCCCGACAGTTCTGTTCCTTCACCTGAAGAAGGCCACTTGTGTTGTGGCCGAAACGTCGTGATTTTTGTTGTTTAATTTTTTACCTACGTGACTTTACCGAATAGAACTAAAGAGTATGGATCCTTGCAGTCACGAAAGCTTCAAATCTAGAATTGAAAGTGTTGTGGTCAGATGAAACCAAAATGGAGCTCTTTGGCATCGACTCAATTCGCCGTGTTTTGAGGAGGAGGAATGCTGCCTATGACCCCAAGAACACCGTCCCCACCATCAAACATGGAGGTGGAAACTTAATGCTTTGGTGTTTTTCTGCTTAGGGGAAAGGACAACTTCACCGCATCAAAGGGACGATGGACGGGGCCATGTACCGTCAAATCTTGGGTGAGAACCTCCTTCCCTGAGCCAGAGTATTGAAAATGGGTCGTGGATGGGTATTCCAGCATGACAATGACCCAAAACACACGCCAAGGCAACAAAGGAGTGGTTCTAGATTTCAAGCTTTCGTGACTGCAAGGATCCATACTCTTTGGTTCTATTCGGTAAAGTCATGTAGGTAAAAAAATATAAAACAACAAAAATCACGACGTTTTGGCCACAACACAAGCGGCCTTCATCAGGTGAAGGGACCAAACTGTCTCGAGCATAGCGCTGGAGTGAACACAGCTAAGCTCAGACCGCGAACTTTAAGCTGTGTGAGAGGAATCAAGGTGCCTTGACAAAGGAATTAGCATAAAAAATAGCATTTAATTGGCGGACTTGGCATGATGAAAGGTGAACATGTGCAGGTCGGCGAGGGGGGGAGGTGTGAAAAGGGAAGAAAAGGGAAGCTGCGAAAGTTTGGGGTGCCACTGCTTGAAAAAAATATACTGTACCATTGAAAATTAGTTTGATGTTTGGTTCGATTAAGAACATCTTTCCAAATGGTTGCTTAATTTGAAACCATCTTCTCGGTTGAAATTGTGTCTGTGTTTGTAAATCTGAATTGCCTCGTTAACAAATCTCTGATAAAAACCCGTGGGTTTGCAAAGAACCTTGGTATCGGAGAAAATTATATCGTGATCACCCACAGCGTTGTAACAGTGATCAGCTACGGCAGAAGAATTCGTTCTGCCGTGTTTCAAATCTGATTTGTGCTCGCGAATTCGGTCAGAGACATGTCGCTTCATCTCCCCGATATAGCAATCACCGCAGGTACAACTCAATTTGTAAACCCCGGGGTACTGTAAGTCAGGAATGACATCCTTCACGGATGGGATCAGATCACGAATTTTGTGTACTGTATTGAACCGGACCTGGATCTTGTGTTTGTTTAGAATTTTGGAAATATTTTTTCTGACGCCTGCTATATATGGTAGTGTGATGGTTTTGACCGGAGTATCAAGTGGTTGTTTCTGTATGGAGGGAGAGACAGCTTGGCGGATGGTACGGTCAGAGTATCCATTCCTTTTGAGGGCCAGGTGTACATGTTTTAATTCACTGGTCAGGTGGTGTTGGTCCGAAATGCAATGAGCCCTATGGTATAAATTTATGATGAGAGAATTATTTTGAGCTGGGTGGTGGTGGGAATCAGGTTTCAAGTAGGAATCTGTGTGGGTGGGTTTCCTGAAGACAGAATGCCCCAATGAGCCATCAGGTCTCCTCTCAAACAGAACATCCAAGAATGGTAGCTTGCCATCTTTCTCCACTTCCATGGTGAATTTGATGGCGGGATGTCTGGAATTGATGTGGTGTAGGAAAAGGTTCAGAGCTGGGAGTCCATGTGGCCAAATGCCGAAAGTGTCATCCACATATCTCTTCCACAGGGAAGGTCTGAGGGTGGAAGTCTGGATGGCGTCCGATTCAAATTTCTCCATGAAAACATTGGCTATCACTGGTGACAAGGGGGAACCCATGGGAGTACCCTCATTTTGCTTGTAGAAGGAACCATTCCAAGTAAAGTAGGTGTTATCGTCAGGGGACAGACGTTGTACTGTCCCCTGATGATATCCAATATGCTTGTCAGCTTCGATGTGGTCTCCTTGTTCACCAAGGTCCCGGTACCTGATACCATTCAAATAATTGAAAATTTGGTACAACATGGACTAAACCCCGAGGTACCTACGCTGGTCAGGCACTGCCTCACCAACACCTACTTTAATTGTAATGGTTCCTTCTACAAGCAAAATGAGGGTACTCCCATGGGATCCCCCTGGTCACCAGTGATAGCCAATGTTTTATCAGAGATTTGTTAACGAGGCAATTCAGATTTACAAACACAGACACAATTTCAACCAAGAAGATGGTTTCAAATTAAGCAACCATTTGGAAAGATGTTCTAAATCGAACCAAACATTAAACTAATTTTCAATGGTACAGTATATTTTTTTCAAGCAGTGGCACCCCAAACTTTCGCAGCTTCCCTTTTCTTCCCTTTTTACACCTCCCCCCCTCGCCGACCTGCACATGTTCACCTTTCATCATGCTAAGTCCACCAATTAAATGCTAATTTTTATGCTAATTCCTTTGTCAAGGCACCTTGATTCCTCTCACACAGCTTAAAGGTCGCGGTCTGAGCTTAGCTGTTTTCACTCCAGCGCTGTGCTCGAGACAGTCTGGTCCCTTCACCTTATGAAGACAGTCTGGTCCCTTCACCTTATGAAGGCCGCTTGTGTTGTGGCCGAAACGTCGTGATTGTTGTTTTATATTTTTTTACCTACGTGACTTTACCGAATAGAACCAAAGAGTAACAAAGGAGTGGCTCAAGAAGAAGCACATTAAGGTCCTAGAGTGGCCTAGCCAGTCTCCAGACCTTAATCCCATAGAAAATCTGTGGAGGGAGCTGAAGGTTCGAGTTGCAAAACGTCAGCCTCGAAACCTTAATGACTTGAAGATCTGCAAAGAGGAGTGGGACAAAATCCCTCCTGAGATGTGTGCAAACCTGGTGGCCAACTACAAGAAACGTCTGACCTCTGTGATTGCCAACAAGGGTTTTGCCACCAAGTACTAAGTCATGTTTTGCAGAGGGGTCAAATACTTGTTAAAATGCAAATCAATTTATAACATTTTTGGCATGCGTTTTTCTTGATTTTTTTGTTGTTATTCTGTCTCTCACTGTTCAAATAAACCTACCATTAAAATTATAGACTGATAATTTCTTTGTCAGTGGGCAAACGTACAAAATCAGCAGGGGATCAAATACTTTTTTCCTCACTGTATACTGGAGGAATCTCGTGAGCTTTGAAGCTCGGTTGCACAGATGTCCAAATTAGCAGAGCTACATGGAGAATGATGATGTTATTTTTTTACAATTAGGTCCGAGCATGATGCATGTCTAATTAATTCCTGTAAAATGATTGATGTGAATAGGGGTAAAATTTGAATAAAATACCAAATGTACATTTGTGACCATCACAATAATGTGTGAAAGTTAACAAAAAATGAGAATTTTTTTGTGAATTTGAGATTTCTGCCGAGTACAGGTCATCAAAAAAACGTAACAGCACGAACAGTCAAGCGAGCAGGAACTCCAACAATCACAGGCCATGGCCCACTCCTGCAGCTCAGCTGACCACTGCGAGCGTCCCTCATCTCTCTGTTGCACTATTGTCCATTTCCCCCCCCCCCCCACTCGATTTCTCCAAATTATCTCGTCATTATCCCCCATGTATCAGTCTAACTCAACCATCCAAAAATTTAGTGAGGTTATGATCGAGACTTTTTTTTATCGTGTGACAACAACCCCATCGAGTAGCGACAGGCTCGCCCACTTGAATATTCACCTGGCACAGAATATCTCGAACAAAGCCACTGCACTGGTGGTAGCCCTCCGGCTGCAAGTAGTCGGCCACCTCCCAGTAGCGCCTCTCCACAGCAGCGTCCTGTTCGACGTCGCAGCAGCCGAAGTTGCTGTAGATCGAGCAGAAGCGGAGTGGCTGCGGGGGCTTGAACGGTGGCCTGAAGTCCAAGCACTGTGGGTGGCAGACGCCCGGCTGCGCAACGATGGCTGATGTCAGCAGCAGCAGCAGCAGCCTCGCCAGTGGCTGTTGGCCGCCTGTCCGTCGGGCTCGGGCAGTGGGGCGGACCTGAGGCTCCAGCCACCGCGGAGTCGATGGAGCCATTGCGGCAAGTCCGGCTCACGTCCCCCCCTCCCCTCCCGTGTTCACGCGATCAACGGTGGCTCCCAGGCCGTGAGAAGAATGTGGTCCAACGACTGGGAACACGGCCGCACCGAGCCGGACAGCCACGTGTCGAGTCACACGAACTTAAATCCGCAGCGCTCCGCAGCAGCTGCTGCTCACATGCATCCTCCCTGCCAGCCTCCCTCCTACTTGAGTCGTACTGACTTTGTTTCGTTGGTTCGTTTTTGCTCGCTCATCACAAGCGGGGCTGATGAGGAGTCATGTGCGTCGTGACTGGAGCAAAACAGCTGACACACGCACGGGGAAACAACAATAAATGCGAGTAAGCATCACACCCGTCAGTTTTTACTTTCTGGAGAAAGAGTGAACAATGCGATAAAAAAATTTAAGCCACGGAGTTGGTCGCCTGCCACCGGGTTAAAGGCCCTCCTCCATCGTTGTTGATGTCTTGGACTAAAGTAAAATCGTGGCGAGCCGCTCGTTTCAAACTCGGCAGGGGGGGGGAGGCTCCGAGAATGTCTATCCACCTCGGTGCATCGCAGTGGGGAGCGGTGGTGCAGCGGTTCGCGCTACGCTGCGTACGAACCCTGCGACCCGATTTCGATTGCCGCTCACGGTAAACGCCGGTGAGAGCGATAATCTGTACCCGTCCAGGGCCTCCTCCCATAGTTCGAGTCAGCTTCAAATGAGTACCTGGTGCGGTGTTGTGTAAACATCGCCACTGGGGAGCGTGGTTGCTACCACCCACACCTTCGTGTGCCTTGCCGGCCTTCATCGGGTGCTCACTAACAGCACTTGGCCCAACAGCCTGTTAAGGCTACACGGGGGATCTTTGTCTTTGTAGGAGTTGGTGAAATGAACCTTGTCCCACACTGGAATATCTCAAAACAATTTTTATATTACACCCCCAGCCCGCCCGTCTCTCCCCCCTATCTCGTTCAGCTGTAGACAGCGCGTTTCTATCGTACATATTATTGTCGCAGACCACGTGTATAGGTTAATGATTACATTTTGTTCTCTCCGTTAATAGTGCAGTTGAGTTCTAACCACTGCGTCCTTTTAATGATTAATTAAACAGACGATGAAGAATGTGTCCGCTAACCAAGCTTATCGACTGCCATCCAACAAAGACGGCGGTCACTACACCGCGCGCATTCAGATGCGCTTCTGAGGCCGTCTGGAACGCTCTTCCTTCCGATATTAGGAAGCCACTGGGAGCTCTGCACTTTTAAATTGTCTAGATTGACAAAACTAATTTCTTTAGAACTGTTTAGTCTGTTGTCCTTCCACCCGGACCTCCGATTAGCATGGTTTGCAATGTACGGTGCGAAAGAAGTTCTACATACATGACATGCATCGGTGGTGTGAGCACACTGCGTTGTGCAAGTGATATAGCCGCTACCAATTGTAAATGGCACGGCCGCGCAGGGCGACTACAGGAGGTGCACTGAGGGTAGGTATAAGGCCCTAACCAGTATCATAATTCATCAAATGAAGGCCGAAACACATCATCACATCACATGCCATCTTGGCATTGATGACACTTCGTAGAGTCCCAGGAATTCGTCCTTTGGTTGTAGATCTGCATCTACAAAGCGCACACATATTGACTCCTGCTCAACTCCTGATATATCTTGGGTGCCATCAATGATAAGTGCGAACTGGACCACTGGCATTGATGTTATTTCCGACACAATTTCTTTGACGATTGTCTTGCCTACCAGCTTAAAAATTTCGTTTTGTATTTGGGGACTGGTAAAATCAAAGTAACCTTTCAGCCAGGTGGTCAGCTTTGCATCGCCCTCTGCCTTGTACTTTAGAAGGTGGCTGAAATTCCCACTCTCCTTATCAGTGCCTCGAAAAGCCAGGCCTTGCCGTCCCAAGTACTTCACACCCCAAACAATCTTCATAAGATTTTTCCTCGCTTGTTGCTGCTCTCTTTCAAGCTCACGTGACAGTTGCCATTAACAAGTTTTGGCTCCTGAATCCGAGTCATCACAGCTAATTTGTGGCACTGGCTGTCTTTATGCGCACTAAATTTCTCCAGTGCCTTCTTCCAATTTTCAAAGCCAGTTTTGACAAAAGCTGAATCTGCTTTTGACGCAAGCTTAGATTTTTGTGTTGCAAAGTATTTAGCACAATAGAAACAGAGGACCCCTTTAAGGAGGTGATGTAATGGAGCCAAGTATAATCTTTAAACCATTTCTCCTGAAAGTAGTGTCCTATTTGATAGGGTTTGACTCGGTATGACATTAACATTTGGCTGATTTGGGCAAGGCCCAAGCTCCCCCCCGCCCTCTCCTACAGCTTCATCTTCGCTTGCCTGTCTGCTCTCTCCCTGTCTGTCATTGTCTCAAACTCACTCTCCCTGCTTGATTGTATTATCTGAAATACACATGAGAAGCCATAATTAGAGGAATATTTCAACTTAAATTAACATTTGGATTAGACTGTTGTGATGTCATTCGGTTTTAACCATCAATATTTGCTAGTATTCTCACTCACCTCCGTGTCACCTGCTCTCCCTGCCCTGTCGGCATCCTCATGCTCTCTCTCTCTCTTTATTCTGATTGCACCAGAGTGAACATGAAATAAATATGATCAGTAAACAAGTGGTGTTTCTTACCATGATGTTCAGGAATGGATTAATAACCATTTCTGATCTGAATAGCAATTATATTGAGAAGCATTGACTCATCTCTTGTACTACTGTATACTTCTATCATCTGACTGGTACTCATTCTCTCACTGCTCTCAACTTACTTTTCTTCTTTTCTGAGGCTGCCCAAAAAACTGACGAAAGTCACTGCCACACCTTCCTCTTGCTCATGATGCCACTCACTGTGAATGAAAGCAGACTGTAATAAAACTGCTTGCACTTTAATCAAAGAAACACTAATAATGCAATTTATCATAAGCAAGTACAGCTATACACTATACTATACGAATATGCAATAAATGAAAGCTACTACTGTCTACAAATATTACACATGCAGCGCAACATAAATTATTGACACTTTCCTCAGATCATGAGACCTCCTTTGCTAATACCAAAAGATTTCAGTTTGGTGTTTTAACATCTTAACACTTGCTTTATTGCAAAAAAAAAATGGAAAACATATTCTCACTTTACTTTCACGTGGGCTTTCTGATAAATATAACGTAATAAAGACATTAACATAAGTTGAATACACCCATGAGCGCCATTGTTGGTCGCTGGGTGAATGCGTGGCTAATTAACTTGCCAAGTAACTTACTTAGCGATGATAGCTAATGTTAGTGATGGTTGATTGATTAGCAATCGCAAATCGGCCCCTTTTTCACCTAAAACGTTTATTTCCACTCGACAGTGATATAGCCTACGTAACACTCATATTACATTCTAATTTTCCACTTTTTAATAAATTTTAAAGTAATGAAATGGAGATGTGGTGCCACAGCAACGGAGAAACTCTGCCAGCGCTGCTATCCCCTCGCACCCCCCACACGAACGCACGCACACCTCCTCTAAACACACACATGCACCCACGTAGGGTCTCGTGGGGGGGTCACCTGGTACCCTGGGTTTTTACCCGAGGGGCCCCTCGTGGGGACGTCCCACGGTTTCCCAGTGCCAGGAGATTGGCCGACCCCCCCCCAGGCCGAATTGCACTGCGGCCCCGTGAATTAACTTAAAATGGTATGGACACGACGAGCTCATCGAGAAAACCGCAGTGAGAGCACACCCAGCACAGGGAATAGGACATTGGGGGAGCAGGGCTCCCAGCGAGCAATGCGCGAGAGCAGGTGGGAGGGAAATTCCTGAACTGACTAAAAAAGAAAAGGAGCTAAACCGCCACCAGAGTACGGGAGGGAGGACAGGGCGCATAGACAATGGATTAGGGCACAATGGAGAGCCACACGCCAGGTAGGGGCAGGGCATCGGTTGGAAATCGAAAGGTAAGCGCCCCGGTTGGCTGCGCAGGGAACGCGACGTGACCCTGGATTTTTTTTTTATTCGGAGGAGATAAAGGGAGGGAGGGGAAAAACTTTAGTCAGTTCTCATGCAGCCGTCAGCTACCCGGTCGGACCCCCAGCCGCTCGCAGCGTCCGAGCGACGCGGGCGACTGCTGCTACAACTCGACCCCCGGCAGACACTTCTCGGACCCTCGTCCCCCACGTCCGTGCAACACAGCGAGTACGTCCGCGAGGTGAGAAGTAGAGTAAGCGTCCACCTAGGAATAGATTGGGCGCTGCTCGCTGAGAATTTTGCTCCGGGCCACACAGGGTTTTTCTTCAGGTGAGGCATTAATAAACTTTAGCACAGGACACTGACGCCACGTGATTTCTGTGTGTATGTGGGGAGAGCGTAGGGGTGGTGTGAGTACGTGCGTACGTGTGACGATCGGCATGTATTCAATCATAAACAATCGCTGATATTCGCGTGCGTGTTTACACAGCGTGTTTTAGGCAGTGTGTTTACGTAGCGATGATGGCATTAAAGGTGTCGGCGTGGTGCGTAATTTGGGCGTGTGTGAGGTTGCGCGGCATAGTAACTCATTGGCTGCGCTCGCGTCCGTGCAGCAGCCGCGCTATTTTTAGCAAGAGCCGTGGTGAGCCACCTGCATGGGTATGCGCGAGCAGGCAGCCATCTCCGCATTAGTGGTGGTTTACGTGGGGAGTGTGTGGGATAACCCGAGGCGGTGGGGAGCCAGCCACTAGCCAAGTCCCACAGAGAGGACGCTGGTGCGGGGAGGCCGATCACCCAATCGACGGCAGCCCGTCGAGAAGGGGCGGAGGAGGAGGGGGGAGAGGAGGAGGGGGGCGTTAGCCCCCACAGAGAGACAGGACAGTGTTTGACTCTTGATTGTACCTACCCACAGCAGTCGAGAAAAGGCTTCTGCTGGGGTACGGCAACACTTGGACAAACCACACGCAGAACTGCTGTACACCGTAATACTAGAACCGGTAGTAATAATAACGGCAATTTGTTAAGTTTAGTTATGATTATGATAACAGTTGCTAATGATTATTTTGGATGGCAGTGCGTTGTTGCCTGTCGTAGCATAGCAATTATTTTCAGAAATTTCTGCCCAGGCATCCCAGCGGATGACCTGAGCCATGGGTTTCCGAGAGAGGAGAGAATCGGCTCAAGTTGGATGTGTCAGGGGAGTGCCCTGGCCCCTGGAATAGCAGCAGGGTGAGCCTGCTACTGTATATTAGAGTTATAATTGGAAGAAGGCACTGGAGATACTGTATATTAGAGTTATAATGCGCCTTTCTACAATGACCACTCTACATCACGTAAATATGTCGTACAGCAAGGGGAAGAACACCTAAGTAGACATATACAGGCAGTCTTCAACTTACGAACACCCGCACTTACGAACCAGCTTCCATGACATTTGTTTACGTCGACTTAACACGCGAACTCGCACTTGCAAACTAAACCGCAAAACTTTTTTGTTCAGCGGAGAGATCCTCCGCGAGATGTAATGA